CCTTAGTTCATTAATTAAGCAAACGTGTTGATTCATCTATTTAATAATATCTGAAGATGAACATTTAATTCTTTCTTTGAATTATCATCTTTGATTGGCTACAATTTATCTGTAGTTTTGTTTTTCACATATTTTTTTCAGCGGTAAAGATTCTGTACGTGATCCTCTAAGCGGAGCATACTATGTACCAACGATGAAGGGTCAACTATGCCGTGTAACTGGGGTATGTATATATAAAATTCATGTGATTCTCTCTCTCTCTCTCTCTCTCTCTCTCTCTCTCTATATATATATATATATATATATATATATATACCAGTTTGATCATTTGTGAAATATCGGTAAAGAACTCATAAGAATGGATCACAAAATACTTTCATCACTTTTTAAATTACAGTTTAGGCAAAATTGTAACACTTTTATGATAATAAAATAAATCTCCTTTTACTTATCAACATATCCACCAACCCTATATTAATTGTTTTCTGAATTAGAATTAGTCAAACTGTGACATACTAGTTAATTATAATTTTTATGAACTATCATGTTGTGCAGTAAATTATCCATCTTAGTTATTCAATCTGTAAGTAAGGCTTTAGTTATTTGTTTTGTGATTCCATCAGTCATTTACTGTGTTCATATATATTTTTTCCAGTGAAAATTAACATGAGTGCAATCATCAATGCAAAATCGTTAGGTGCTTTGCCATATCTCTCAATCCTCCTCGACAAGTAGGTTCGAACCCCAACTTCACTTACGTCAGGTTACGTAACTGAGTAGTATCAATAGTACCCAAGAAGTCAGCATGACTCAAAGTTCAGTACATTAATTCGCAGATAACAAATTATTCTTTTTCATTCACATCGCATAACACCAACTTTTTTCCAAAATGTTCTTTTAAGGTCTGGAATCATACTGCTACACAATTTTATCGTATGATTTCAATTACTTATTATTTCTAAATCAATCATTTTGTTATTTATCTTATACAGGTAACAGAAATAGGCATTGAACACCAAGGGTTAGTAATTCGATCAAATCGTTCTTAACAATTTGATGGTCTTTGATCATCTACATGTTAGTTTATAATAATGAATGAAATCAGCCTGTATGTCTAAATGATTTGATAATCCCTCATTTGTGCTCTGTGATCACTTCTTTTCTCTCCTATCATCTCTTTTTGTTTTGCTCTTTAATATAAGAAATTGTGTAACTCATTCTGGGTTCGGTCTGTATTTGCAAAATAAAAGTATTTTAAATATTTATTGTATACTACTTTTTGTTATGCGATAAAAAATTGTAGTTTATAACAAAATTTAACGTTTTCTCTGTTCATTAAATTAACCATGTTGGATGTTGACAGAAAATCGAAGTTGATAATAAATAACTAAATGGTGTCAAGATCATAAGAAATGATTGTGTCGAAGATATTAGCTTCTTACTTCCTGCTTGCTTCAAACAATCAATTGTGAAGTTGTAAGACATACTGATCAATTTTTCTCCCACTTTGCTCAGCTATTTCCCATCCCAATGGGCAGTTGATTGGAGGTCTATATCTTACACTTGTTGGTAGAACGTGCTGGCGAAGACACTCGTGGAAAAAATGCAGTTGTTCTCGAGTGGAACCCTGTCTTTTGGCGAAATCCTTCCATTTTCGATCAACGAGAAGTGTATTACGCTCATATGATTTTGATATGGTGGAGAGGATTTGTAGCTCAGGTGGTGTGTACCATTTTTCTCCCGATTGAGCTACAAATCTTCACCATCCTACATACTGATCAAGAAATGAAGCGTCAAAGTCAGCGTTTAGCCTGAGACAAATGTGCGTTTGCCTAAATTGCCACATTATAACGAGATATCATCCCACTATCTATACAAGTATACAATGAATGTGAAAGCGATGACCATAAAATGGTAGTTAGTGTTCTCCCTATCTGTCCCTCATAACCAACCCATACATAAATCCACTGCATAGGGATTAAAAACATTCTGATTAAGATCTCCTGCATACTATGGTTGGATACTAATTGAAATACCTTGTGGATGCCACTGTCACATTCTATCAAATCACAAACTCGTGTTTAGGTCCTTGTGCACCTCTCACAACGTACAGGATTATTAATAATAACGAATCGTTTATATCCGTTAAATATCGTAGGAAGCTTGAATCAAATGACTTGACAGCAGTAGTAAAATCAACTATAAATTTCGGCAAAACTGAAGAAAACCATAAGTTAGAAAGCATTAACGAGGAGATTTTAGCACTTAATAATAGCTCGAGAGTACAATAATTAGTCATTTTCAATAAACGCGTTTGCGCATCTCAAAACGCAGATATACCATGCGTCCTGTATAATGTCATTTATAAGCCATTTCAAAACTTTTCAATGATTCTTCGTATCTGAAAATTAGTAAAGCTATAAACCCCCTTAAGGTCTCAAACATGCGAGTAGAACACTTTGAAAAACCAGACATCCAAACAACACACAGACGTTATCATAGAGGTCACTCCACCATCAATCGAAGAAATTAGGATGGCCATCAGACAAATCTAGAGTGACAAAGCAGCAGAACCTGACAACATTGTGATCGATTCAGAGCATGTCACCCACAGTCTCGAACCACTGGTTACAATAGTCGCGCGGACCTTAACCAAGTAGTCTGCATCCACCAACATGGCTCAGATCAGTTATTGACTTCAAGGACTGATGCCACGTTTTGGTTTGGTCGCCCCTAACTTCCTTTCATCCGTCTCCAATGCTGGATTCACAACAGACTTACCATCATTCCCTAATACCCTGCGTCTAACCTCACTATTACTTACCCGGTGATACCAGCAATATTTCTAAGGCACCTGTGGTCAAATACTTGTAGCTTACGAGCCTCTTCTATTCTTAAAGGCCACGTTTCGCAGCTATAAAGTAGAACAGAACAAACTTCAGTGAAATATACTCTCCCCTTAGTTGGTAGACGGATATATCGCCTTTACCATAGGTGACGTTTGTTGGTAAAAGTTAAACGAGCTTTTTGAATCCGTGCGAAGATTTCGTCAGACACCAACCCATTAGGGCTGATCAGATTTCCAAGATAAGTGAGGTTGTCGACGCGCTCGACTACTTCACTCCCTATCCCTAGTTCAGATGTTGACGCAGACCAGTCCTGAAGCAACAATTTGCATTTAGAGGGGGAGAGACGAATCCTAAACATACTGGAATTGTTGCTCAGTGCCACCAAAAGGCTGCATTTTATCAGTCTTCACCTAACAGGACTATATCATCTGCTTATTCCAGGTCAAGTGGACCTCCTAGAAGATCGATGCCCGAGAATTCAGGCGACAAGAGCGTCATTTCCAGCAGTAGGTCTATGATCAAGTTCAACAGAATTGGAGATAGTGGACACCACTTGAGATTGAGAAATCGGATTGCAGTTTATCATAAACTCGGACTCGACTAGTAGTGTTCGAGTAAAGAGCCTTCACAAGGTTTATGTAATCCTGAGGTACGCATTTCAATGACAAACAATGCCACAGAATCTCGCGGTCTACAGAGTCAAATGCTGCTTTTAATTCAAGAAAAACTATCATTGTCGGATGCCGACAAGCATGTTTGTGTTTTAGCACCTGACGAATGGTGAATATGTGGTCGATGCAGCCACAACCAGGTGTAAAGCCAGCCTGATCTCCTGTTTTTAGTTTACTAGTCTTTGTTAAGCGTCCGATAATTATTGAGACTAGTATTTTAGATGTTATGTTTGTCAAACTAATACCTCTATGGTTATCACAAGATGAATTTGACCCCTTCTTACACATTGGGGTAATCAGTGACTGCGACCAGTCCAATGGGATTACTACTAACTTACTTCGATTGTTGGTGGAGTGACATCTATAGGAAGGTCTATGTGTACTGTTCCGATTTCCGGTGGGTTGGTCTAGTTAAGAGTTCTTCAAAATGCCCCACTTATATGTTCCTGAATCTCAGTGATTGGCTTACCTTATTTTTGCTTGAGTGGTCCCGCTGGTTAACCGAATTCCCCTGCTAGTTTATTTATTTTATCACATAGTTGTTTCATATTTCCTTCTCTTACAGCTCTTCCCGCTGTCGCTGCTAGGTCTTCCACGTATTTCTACTTGTCGGCTTTAATGCTCCTCTTCACTCTCTTGTTTGCTTCTCTGCTCACTCAATCTGTTCCTTGAATTTCTCTGCTCTTCTTCGACTGCTGTTAATTGCTCTCTTCTTGTTTCATTCCTTATGATGATGTTTCTTGCGGTCCAGCACCTCCTGACACGTGGTGGTTAGTGCTTTTTTAACCCTTTCCAGTCGTGCTCCACAGTAGTTTCCTCTTCTCTGAATAAACCTTGTAAGGATTGGAACCTGCGACTAAGCTCCACGCTACATAAACCCATAGTATAATGACCGTATGACGAACACTGTAATCATTATGCAGTAGATCCTCGACAATACAACAGAATATCATCATTCTTCTGTAAGTATTACATTCTGAAGAAAATATCATCCGAAAAACTTCTCAAATCTCCATATTTCTCGAGTTTTATTTAAGTTCTTCACATAGATCCTTTTAGAAATAGAATACTTTATATGTTTGAATTTTAAAGATTAGTATATATGAAATGGTATGACAATCTCATCTCGAAAGCGGTATGCATTACATTTATACATAGTTTAACAGTACTATAGAAATTGTTCACATAAATTTAAATGTTTTTAGAACCTCGTCACAACTTGAATCAACAAATTTATAAGTGAAACTTCCATGTCATTATATTCGGTCTGCTTGAAAATAGAAAACCCAAGTCAAATTAATCCGGTATAAATGATAACAAACTGTTTACGCTAGTTTACTTTGTCACTAATTCACTGGTACATCTTTTTATAAAACAAATTTTGTTTTCTTTTCCATCATATAAATGCGTTTATAAATTCCTATATTTTATAAATATAGATATGTGTATACACATAATAATAACTACAATAGAAACAGTGTTAATTGTTATTTAACTTTGTACTAGCAAATATATCAGCTAGACGAATTACTTCTTCTAAAGTATCAATACGACTGCCAACAGCTTGAGCTGAATTTTCTTTACCGCCTCCTTTTCCATCCATTGTTTTACTAATATGTGTAACCCATTCATTAGCTCTTAAACCACGTGAAACAAGTACCTGTGTGATATGAGAGCAGAAAAATAAAGATATGAACAATTTAGTGTATTATCCAAGTTTTCTGTTTATGTAATTATGTTAACTATAATCATTATATATATAAGGGTTTCATTTTTCTCGTTATTCGTATTAGGAACTGAATTATATCAGTCTCGATTATCATAGATGTATTCTCTTAGTGGATTACTTTGATGCTATGCCTTCAAGTACAAGTTTTTGGTAAAATTAGGTTATGAACAGAGGTGGAAAGCAAGGAGCATTTCGCTTCTCTATTTTCTGGCACCCAGATAACGAATACCAGTCAGGATAAAACGCTTATCCTGGATTCTACTACCAACCATAATCCAACTTCACTATTATCATTAAACATAAGAAAATGTTATGGTATATTTCACACTTCTTTATTAATATAACAAACATTTATTTGGAGTCACTCTATCAAGCCAGAATGTTTGTAATAAGATGGGGATTGATGTGAAAAGATTAATAACTTAAATGATTCCCCCTGTAAATTGAAGTGAAGTAAATATTTTTCCATTCCCTATATTTCTCGAGTTTTATTTAACTTCTTCATACAGATCCGTTTAGAAATATAATGCTTTCAATGCTTAAATTTTAGAGATCGACTTTCTACTATGAGATTGACTTATTCACTTAGAATAATCAAATTCTCTTAGGTGAAGACCTTGACATAATGCAGAGTTTTCTTCAACCCCCCCCCTAATGAGTGAACTTTAATATTATTTCGTATTTATTTACTCATCAAATTTATCCATTCTTTTCGAACTGTATTCTTCAATGTTGAGTCTTTTTCATTATCATTGATACTACAATTATTTCGATTCTTTATTTGGGCAATAAAGTCATTCCCATTAAAACTGATCTGTTTCTCTCCACTTATGTGTGCAGTGCTACTTTTTTACAGTTGATATGTTAGTGATACTGACTCTACTGTCGTGTAATCTTCACGTTTCGTTCATTCAGTTAGTCAAATATCACCATTACTTAAGAGCACGATAAGCTATCAAAAGTTGATCTATATTGTGATGGAACAGATAACTTTTCAATGTTAACAACAGTAGAATGAAACTACTGGTGATCTAGATGGTATGATAACTCTTTTCTTTTGAATACGTTAGACTGAGTCTAGTTACATATCATCTCAGGGTCATACTATGGATGAGACACGTTATTGGAGGAAGCCAATTATACTCTTAATAGAGATCTCAGCCTACATATCATTGTCTGAGTCAAAAGGACAAATGTATAATACACTAATGGTTTATTTATCTGTTTATTTTGTTCACTAACTTCCAGTCAATTGTCAGTCACATAGGTGGATGTGTAAGCGTATAAGAAAAGTGATAATCTGAATTGGATGACCCAGAACATAATAAATTTTTCTAATCTAACCTTTATTAACGCATAGGTTAAGGCCTTTAAATTTAAAATATCACTTACTTTTGGGACTTGACAAAGAACAGTCAATTTCTTTGAAACAAGGTCTGAAGAAATTGCCATTACAGCTTTATTTGGACATATTCGTTCTATTTCTTTTATAGCAGAACTCATAATTTTTGTATTCGACTGAGCATCGAACACATGAATGATATAATTACTGGGAGAGTTAGAAAGACTTTCACCTAATAATCGAGCCTCTTCTAAAACCTAAAATGATGTAGAAGGTAGAGATTAAGTGAGTAATTTTAAGCTTAAAAATTGGAAAGGTAGTTAAATAGAACAACAACTTAGTTGAATTACATGCCACACATTAAATGTTCAAAAAGATTGATGATGACTGTTGTATTCTATTGTTACTAATCATTACAAATATAAATATTCCCATAAATTGAGCACTTTACTCATACGGATCTTCCTTCCATATATATTGTTTATTCCAGACGAAATGAACAGTGTTAGTTTAGGAAAAAAAGCAAGATAGATAAATCATAATACGTTCTATTCTTAAATCTTTGAATGTCTGTCTTATTCGTATTAACAGCTGTAAAAGAGAACAGACTAGGATATCAAGGTTATGAATATAAATTAGAATGTTCATAACAAACTGTGTTGTTTAGTTCTAATCCATTACACAACATTAAGACATAGTTCAGGAGCGAATCAGTAACTTCCTGATGCCAGTGAATGACAGTCGTAATGTAACGAAACGTTGGAGTTCTATATCATGGAATAACTTTGGTAAGACAACCAATAAAAATCAAGAAAAGATGGACAACCGTTCCGTTCTAGTTTGGGACATAGCAGTAATGCTCAAGTAAAATTCACATGACACACTGACATTTAGGAGTCGCAGTAGACGATTTACCTTTAGAATAAAGTTCGTCCGTAATGTTAAGTTTCAAGTCCAACAATCTCAACAATACCCCATATTAATAGCAAAGATTTCCACAATCGAAGAACTGACATGTTTGAATTCGATTAGCAAGCTTTAAATTATCGTATTAGCAAAAATATCTGAGGTCCTTGGATTCCATTTTTTGTGACAAAATTATGTCCGCGCACTGAATTTTAAGTAGATGAGAATCAACACATAATTACTACCTAGTATCTTCCTATTCTATTTCCCCCATAAAGAAACTTTATTTGTGAGAAACTATTGAATTTTGACGGAATAACAGTGCGTTCACAGTGGGTTGGGGATGCCAAATCCACAGAAATTACTTAGTAAACTCCTCATTTTCGAATCTTGCGGGGCGGGATCGTGGATGCGCACTACTGGGGATTCCCACAATCGGACGAAACGGACGTCGAGTGCTTCGAGGTTTTCCATGGTGATCTAGCTTCAAATGATTCATGATCTCAACTATTAAAATAATATTAATAATAACAATAACAAAAGAAAAACACAATAACAAGGGGATTTTTGAAAAAAAAGGAAACTTTAACCTTAGAAGTAATCGCTGTTTTTGATGCTTTATCACGTGCATCTAGTAATTTTTTTGCTTCAAACAATTTTTCACGTAAATTTTCTCGATGATGTTGACTGATCACGGCGCGTGAAACAAGTTCTGATAAATTGGATATTTGTCGATTTACATTGAAATCATCAGTTATATTATTATTATTATTTTGATTAAGAGAAATTGATTTATTCACAAATTGAATTAATTCATTAACTTCATTGTCAAGACGTAAAGCTTCTTTTTGTGCCTTTAAAATGATGAATTGGATTTTAGTAGAGAAGAAATGTATGAAATGATATAATGTAAACATTACAAAATGAACTGATTACAAAGTATCTTTAAGTTGGATACTTTTTTTCACTTAATAAACCTTAGGTAATATAACAAGGAACCAACATATAATTTCTCAAATTTCTGAGTAGTGGTTAAAGTATGCGTCTTTTAACCTACAGATAGCCAGTTGTGATACTATTCCATTCATTTTTTGCATAGACATACAGTTAGTAATACGAACCTTAGTGCTATGTAGTTGGAGGTAATTAGCAAGAAAACATGGATTTAGGTTTAATATTAGATTGCCATATTATCGATGAGCTATTTAAACCGTGACCGACATCCTATAGGGCTGAAATATTTGCGTTGATTAGTCTCTGAGCAGTGAATGATGTCAACTTTGTCTAGTCTTTAGCACTGATTGAACCCTATGGATCAAGTCTCAATATAGCTACTAGTTTCAGTAGATTCACAGTCAATCGAGGCCCAAATAGTTCAATTTTAACTTTTCAAACTGAATGACCCAAGTTCAAAACCACTAGAGAGGTTCAGTTCCCTTTAAATCCCAGTTATGCCTTGTTAATGAGTGTCAAGTGACACAAAACCCAGATCTAGGGTTTTTAATGGACTACCATCAACCACCATCTTATATATCAAAGTAGTGCGCATGTTCTCGATTCACTTATAAGAGTGGCGACAGAACTTTACCAATAGAATCTAATTGACGATAAAGACTAAGCAAACATGACACCGACTACAACTCAATAATCAAATAATGTATGTGCTATTAGTCTTCAGATAAAAGGTGTCTATCAAACCCAATTTCATAAAACTGTGCCTGGTAAATGAGTTACCACAAATGATGTTAAGATATTTTCATGATTATTTTGATAATAGTTAGATATTTTTAAAATATGATTTATTATATTGTCATTGAACATAGTTTTCCTTGCATTATCTCATCGTTTGACCCGATCAAAGTGATTAACGATGGCTCTAGTAAAGAAAATGGTCTGTTAATCTGTTTCTCGAAATTTACAACTCATTGATTCATCGACTGGTTAAAAAATATATCATTGATCGATCATTCTGCACCATAACCTTAATAACTTCTTCCTGCTTATTGACAGGTGTTAAAGCCACTCCTTATTGTAATATTTCACAATTGTATTTTCAGTCGACTACATCTTCATTGATTGTTTAAATCCACTCAATAAATCCCATGTTGGTTTGCGTTAAATGGTTTTTTAAATATAATGTTGATATTGTAACAGTAAAAAAGCTAGGCCTAATAACCACCATCGGATGGAAATCGGTTTAGTGATTCGCTCGATGTTGTTTATAAACTAACAATTTATATTTTCATCTTTAAGCTCCAAAGATAGCAATATTTTTCAATGGATTCTTTTTAATAGTGGCTGATTGTGATATAGTCTATTTATACAATCAAACGTTTTATTAATGCCGAAGGCTGTCAAGTCAATTAATGTCTTTGTATTTGAAGTGGGTACTGGATGAAAAAATAAACAGTTGTCAGAACGTGGAAATATTGGTTACCCGTAAGAGACATTACTGCCACTTATACTCTAATGCATCTAACAAAGTGATTTTTCCGTTTAACCTAAAATCCGTTTTTTATTAAATGATCTGTACAGAGTGGTAGAATCAAAATGAACAAATAATTTTAAATAAATACTGTTCCGTTAAGAATCATAATATCACATGCACGTTTGATCACCATATATAAAGATAGCAACCAGAATACAGTTTATTAATAGCTGTTCCAATGAAACAAATAAAGTTATACCGGCAATTGTATTCACATATACACGCTGTCATCACGGAATGATAATATCAGTTAATGCTTCTATGAGAGATTTTCAGCTAAAATAACCAAAAATGCCGGATCAGTGGTCCTGTAGGTTAAACGTTCGTGCGCAAGGCTAAAGGCCCTGGGCTCGAATCCCGCGGGTGGGATCATGGATGCTCATTGCTGAGGAGTCCCATACTAGGATGAAACGGACGCCCAGTGTTTCCAGGTTTTCAATGGTGGTCTAACATCAGTCGTTTCATGATCTCAATCAAGATTTATTCCCGAAAAGAAGCATTGAAAGTTGAGAGAACGATACAAAAAGACATTTTGTTAAATAGAAAAAAAATCTCAAAAATCCGCAAACTCAGTTAAAAATATATAATTTCTCTGAAGGTCATCATCATAATATTGACTCAAGTACATTGTATAAAAAATTGGGAACATTCTTAATAGGTAGGTAAAGGTTATACACAAATTTGTTTGCTAACTTTGCACTATTCATAACGTAGTGAATGAGTATGAAGGTGTGGAAGATCAATTTATTATTTAATGCAAAATTACAGAATGCTTTGGTAAAAGTATGGAAACTATACATTAAACACTTTATTTCCACATCTTCCTTCAGTTTTCATTTACATGATTTATAACTCTTTCAATTTTTTTGTCATTAAAGTTACTCTCTGTTTACATTCCTATTCTCTTCAATTCAATCTTCTGCTGCTAGGCATTCCATTTCTGATTAGTGTTACAAACCACTTATGTCTGTCAATATAAGTAACACACACCACAGTACAACAGCTGATCAAACTCTTTTTAGATATAATAATCCATACTTAAACTAACAGTAGTAAATATATTCCAATGTATAAAGATAACTAGATAGATTGAAAAAACTAATGAATACAAATTCCGACGACTGTAAACACAGTCACAAAGGGATATCTTGTTAGCAGATCATAGACGGAATGATATAGGGGCACGCTGATTAACTAAGAATGAGTAATCATCGCTAGAAGACTCGAGAATATTCTTGCGTATAAATGATAGATTAACCAACAGTTTTCGCACTGTGATTGTTACCTCCATTCAATTTGTTCATTTGGAATATAATTTAGTTTCTGTTCAAACGTGTCCTGATTCAAGGTTTAATCGAGTAAGGTAGCTGAATAGTATACAGAAAGATACTAACACATCTCTATGTTATGACCCAATACCCACCACTGATTAATTGATTAAATAGCCTAATATTTAAAGCAAACATCCACAAAAAAACACGACAGTAAAAACACTAATTTCATGTGATAGTAATAACAATAAGCAACTTAATGTGAGTACTTACACGTTCAGCTTCGTGACCAGTAAGAGCTATAATACGTCGAACACCTTTAGATATGGCCTCTTCACTAACAATCACTAAAACTCCAATATGTTTAGTATTAATAACATGACTGTAAAGAAAGAAAAATACCAGATGAAAAAAATTATCTGTTAATGATTTGCTGTTTTCACTCACAAACAAATTTAACACTCAGTTCATAAAAGGTGTTAAAGTAAATTGTCAGAGACATATATCATTGGCTTACGTTAGTTTACAGACCATGGAGTCAAGGTTAGTGATAGTAATTGGTTGTTTAGATTAGAATCGAGTGAAAGGGATATTGTACATTGAATTTTATTGTGGTACAGTGCAATGTTTAAGCTACAAGCCATAACTCGACACAAAGTGGTTCAGTAATTAAAGTATGACAACTAAGCGGTTACAAGTGTAAATTCGATCCTACAGACTTCAGTTTAGGTGACTCGGTAACTTCATTAGTCATTACCGTTATGTCCCGATGAGAATAATGAATGGTGACTTTGGGAACCATTTATGGACCAATAGTATGAGAATATTCTCATTGTTAAGTGACTAAACTATTCATATTCGTGTTCTTCTTATCATAAGCTTTATTTTTATTTATGAACTATTATTATATGAGTTACCATTCTTGAGTTATGCCCTGTCTATTAATTACTACCTCCCACATTCACAGCCACTTTTGGCAAAAACTTGTACAAATGTTGTTTCCTATTTTATGGTACGATGTGGCCTGTTTGGTTGGTATATAGACTCAGTATGTTTGAAATACATGATTCATATCTCAGAGGCTCGGATTGGTGTTCTGGACTTAACTGGTTAGGCTAGGCAGGAAGCAGGACCAATAAGTACTCTAAACTGCTCGCACGAGTTTTATGCGTCATCGGTCCGATCGATAATTTATTGCTCTATAATTGGCAGTATTATCTCGCCATAAATTAACAGAGCACACAGGCCACAAGTTATAACAATTACACACAAACGGACTCAGTTGTAAACGACGTAGAACCTGGTGGAAATGTATGTTAGTCCAAATTTCCACTACTAGATCAACAAAACAAGACTAAATTAAAAAGACCGATAATAAAAGAGTTAAGGTAATTTAATGATTGAATTCATGAGTCAATTGAAGCTAGACCATCATGAAAAACCTGGAAGCACTGGACAGCCGTTTCATTCTAGTATGGGACTCCTCAGCAGCGCTCATCCACGATCCCACCCCCCGCGAGATTCGAAAACAGGACCTATCAGTCTCGCGCGCTAGTACTTAACCATTAGACAACTGAGCCGGTAACCAACGGTGTTAATGTCTAACTTCAAGCAATCCACGAAATTGCCCCACCGTCCACCATTTTCTTAAGTGAGTTACGATCTCACAACAGACCCGGTTGAATTATGATAATTATGATAAAAATTATGAGAAAGACTGAATGTTAGGAATAGTTAGAAATTGCTGAATGTAAACGTTCATATCAAGGAACATTAGAACCTAACATCTAAAGGAAGATTAAGAATAGATTTTATGTTATGGTACATGGAGTGGTGGTAGTCACTTGTTGAAAACTTCGGCCACAACCTTACAGATGCATTCCATGTTTTATCTTACTTTAGTTCTTCAGATGTAAAAATATTGCAAACTTCCCAATTCTAAACCTGATTGGTTCTTTCCGAACTTTATTCTCTGTGTCTTTATATGCATATTTATATGTACATAAAGGATACTTCTACTATCTCCTTTCCTATGGATCTTGTTCACCTATTCAATCTGCACTAATCCATTAAGTTGTTTATTCACTGAATAGCTTAATCTTTTAAACAATGTTGTGTGAATTATTTAGCTATAAACAATACCTTTTCAATTATTTTCACAATAGTTAATTTATAGAACGAAAATCGATTTTGTCAGTCTGATTAACACAAATTTACGACAAACCGTAAACAAGAACACTACGTACGTTCCACCACAGAATTCAACTGAGGTAGTTTTACCATATCCTTTTTCTGGATCAGCTACTAAACTTGTCACAGGAACTCCAATAGAAACAACTCGAACAGGATCAGGATACGCTTCACCGAACACTGCACGCACTCCTTGAATAGTTTTAGCATACGACAGTGAAACATTTGATGAATAGACATTTAAACGTTTGCTTATCATCGTATCACAGATTTCCTCAGCTTTAGCTAATTCATCACGAGTCATACCCCGCTTAAAAATTAAAAAGGAAGAAAATTATGGGATTAAAACATATATCCATTTGTAAATCCAAAGAAAAATATGAATAACAAAGTTTGAAGCAAAGAATTTTATTGACACTTATACTAATATGTCTGAAAGGATACCTTATATGTCAAATGATGAGATATTCACAGATATGTGCTATTGTTCAAGGTTCGATTTCATTTTCTAAAGAAGAACATATACGGTATTGATTGAAAATGCAGTTTTATTTCCTAAAGGATATATATATATACGTATATTCTTGATTCGATTGGACAATAAAAACATTACTATTCACTTTACGTTAAGTAGTTGGTTAGGGCATGCACATAAAAAAAGGTATTTACCAGTATCAGAATAGGATGACTAAATAATATAACAATTATCCCATTGGCCGATGACAAAACTTTATAGAATAACTTATCAAATCTGTGATACAATTTTCGAATACCACGATATATCTCAACCTATTCCCAAAAAGGCAATGAAATCAGTATCAGTAAATGATATCTTATAATTATCATAATATTAGAGACAAATAGTTGATATCCGTTACACAACACTTTCATGAAATTCCTAGGCGTAAAAACTAATGCACATTAAACAATCCTAAGTTTAGATTGAATAAAATCAAAAACACGGTTCCAGTACTAATATCAATCAATACTTTTAAAGTATTAGTTTGTTATTACATCTAATTGCCCAGTAAAATCATATTCTTTTAGACTAATAGTAAGTTCACAACCTAATTATTATGAACAGATTAGCAGTTCAGTGTTAAAATTTAGATATTGATCAGGGTTTAGTTAGTTCCTGAATGAAAACACACGAATTCAATAAAGAGTTATGTCTTCATTTAACCTTAATGATTATTCTCATCAAATAGAATGATTTATTAAATTTATCCTATCTATTAGGACTACTCTAATGGTCAATAATTATTATACATATAATAATATATGTCCAGAAGAAGTATCTTACAAATATTTTATATTTTTACCTTGGCAGTAAAATCAAATCGTAAACGGTCTGGTGCAACTAAACTACCCTTTTGTTCTGATTCATCTACTAATTCACGAAGAGCAAAATTTAATACATGAGTTCCAGTATGATTACGCATTAAAGCTGTACGTCGTACAGTATCTAATGAAAGAAGTACTCTGCTGCCAACATTTAATTTGCCATGTAAAGTTCCAATATGTAAGATATAACCACCACGGCATTGTACATCTAAAATGCTAAATTCAGTAGCCTAAAACAATAAATTAAAATGATACTATCTGTTAATTGTATAAAAAGTATAATTCATTAAAAAATAGCAATGATCAACATTTGCACAAATCATATTTCATTTATTTCATAAATATATATACTAGAGAATTAACACTAATGTTTATATACAAATATCCAACCAATAGTACATGATCGACCAGTCAATTAATCAGTTGCCAATAACCAGAAACCAATGATCCTTTCTTTTCTATTATTCATAAGACAAACCGTATTATCAGGTAGATTTATCTTAATTTTAAGAATATCTAGAAAATACATAAATTAATTCATTTGCCAGGTATTTGGATGTGAGCCACACGCTAAGTGTGGGGGCTAATTATACTGTCCTGTTGCCCGAAGCGGAACACATGGAAAGGAGTTCAGACCTGAGACTTAGTGACTGATGATCGAACAATGTACCCAATAAAACACTATTTCGTGAGAGAAGAAAAAATAATTCTGATTAGTTACCTCATCTGTTAAGCTTGTTATAAAACCATGGTCATATAACTGTCCTCCTGATTCTGCATAGAATATAGTTTTGTTTAAAATAATCCCACACATTTGACTGCTTGAATTGACACTTTCGACAAATTTATTTTCATAGCGAATAGCTAAAACTGTAGCTTCAGAATCTGGGAAAACTAAATTGATAGGATATAAATAGAAAAATACTGATTACAAAGATAAAATAACGATTTTGAGTGAAAATAATCACAAATGAAAAAAAATAATAATTCCATATATGACTCATGATCCCAACTAGTAAAATTAATATAATATCCACAAAACCTCTTCTGATATTAATCAACATATGATCACTGGTAACTGGCTTCAACAGATAATTCCTGAAGTTCTAGTGAGAAGCAGAGATCAGTGGAGCTCAACCGGGTCTGTTGTGAGATCGTAACTCACTTAAGGCAATGGTGGACGGTGGCTCAATTTCATAGAATAGTTGAAGTTAAAGATTAACGACGTTGGATACCGGCCGGCTCAGTGGTCTAGAGGTTAAGCGTTCGCGTGTGAGACTGAAAGATCCTGTGTTCGAATCTCGCGGGGGCGGGATCTTGGATGCGCACTGCTGAGGAGTCACAAACTAGGATGAAACGGCCGTCCAGTGCTTCCAGGTTTTCCATGATGGTCTAGCTTCAATTGACTCATGATCTCAACTATTGAAATTCTATATAAATATGAAAATATAAGTTTTATTAATGAACACTATGAAAATCTACCAGTTTATTGTTTGCAAATATACTGAATAACAAACGTGAACATGATTTGTTTTAGAAATCTGAATATACTTTCAAAACATATATACAGTCACTTTCGAGTCAAACTATTTGTAGGAAGGCTATTAGTGATACTGTATGACTAACCAAACTGAAGTAGAAAAAAAAGCGTACAAACCTGTAACTATATAATTGTTGTTATATCCCAGTGAGTAGAAAAATTGTATTTTTGACTTTTCGTGACTTCAAGTAACCTTCTTCTTCAGAGTAAATTCGGTTATTTATTTAATTTAAAGAAGTGGATTACATTAAGTCACGAAAAGTCAAATCTGCCGATAAAAAAGAAAAAGGTTTCATAGAAAGTAAAAGAAATTACCATAATTTCCATTAAGATCTGATGTATAGACAAATTTGTCTGAGTCATCTGTTACTGATATATTTTTACTTTTTAGTTCAGCTATTGCATGTACATCAAGATCTACAATTGAACCACCTGTACATTTTCTGCTTTGACTACGAATTTGAGCTTCTTCTTTAGCTTTTTCATAACCATTTAAATCAATCTGAATAAAACAAACAAAACAGGGGATTGACGAAACATTAATAATACAGTTTATTAATTTTGAACAGACAGTATTCAGTAAATTAATATATTTGTAACATCCCAAATAATGATCATTTATTCTCTGAAGAAGTGGCTCACACTGAGTCACGAAACGTCAGAAAATCTAATCTTCCTACTTATTGGGACGTTACAAATATCAGAAGCAGTTTTATGGAGATTTCAGTAATTTTGATAGTTGAAATCATGAGGCAATTGAAGCTAAACCATCATGGAAAACCTGGAAGCACTGGACAGCCGTTTCGTCCTGGTATGTGACTCCTCAGCAGTGCGCATCCACGATCCCGCCCCCGCGAGATTCGAAACTACGACCTATTAGTCTCGCGCGCCAGTGCTTAACCATTAGACCACTGGGCCGGCATCCAACGGTGTTAATGTGAGAAGCCGTGACCAGTGGTGTTCAACCAGGTCTGTTGTGAGATATCAGCTCACTGAAGACAATGGTGGACGGTGGCGCAATTTCGTGAATCGCTTAAAGTTAGACATTAACACCGTTGGATGCCGACCGGCTCAATGGTCCGAAGGTTAAGTGTTCGCGCTCAAGACTGGTGGGTCCTGGGTTCGAATCTCGCGGGGGCGGAATCGTGGATGCGCACTGCTGAGGAGTCACATACTAGGATGAGATGGCCGTCCAGTGCTTCCAGGTTTTCCATGATGGTCTAGCTTCAATTGACTCATGATTTCAACTAGTGGTATTACAAATATATTTATTTATTTATGACAATCTAACAATACTTAATTTATTCGAAATCATCAAGTCAAAGCTTGGTAATGATACTTACAAACAGCATTATTTTTTTGTACTCCGCTGACTTGACTCTGATTTGGATGAACGTATGATGAATATGCTATAAGCATAAATCTTCCATTTAACTCCGTGTATTACTTAGGCTAACCCCGTTTCTGTGACGGCAGTAATAAGAAGCCAAATATGGGTTGTTTTTGGTGCATTTATTTCAAGCACTCATTTATCCAGACAGAAATTCAAAGTAAATAGTCGGAAAGCGAAGTGGAGAAGGTGAGTAAGCCAACTAGATTTGATCAAGCGTAACTCAATATTTAAAGACACAAAAATAAGCTAAAGACCTAAGATGAATAGAGTAAACGATACACACACACACACACATTCATATAAAAATGGTCAAGGTTAATAAGCGATCAAGTGACAAGGTCAAATGTTACTCTAGAATAATGAATAAATCGGTTTGTTCGGAAGCCGGAGCAATCTATATGGGCTTGACGTAGTACCAGACATTACAAGTTGATGTATACAACAAGATGATATGTAGAGAAGAAAACAAAGTCATTTAGAATTATAATCATCTGAACAATATCATTAAAATAGTCAAGATGTAATTACAAAAAATAACTCCGGATAACATAATGAGATTAATTAAAACTTTTGATATAAAAATATAAATATTTACATCTAGTAAGTCAGTTTACTATTATGAACGTAAGATTCGTGAATTATTCGTTGGTTCAAATTGTCAGTTGCATAATATGAGAGAAATTTAACACGACAGAGAAAGAGATTTATAGGAATTAACTTCAGTGTGTTAATAGCCTTCAGCTGTTATTTGTTGGTCTATGAAATTAATTCTTTGATATACAACAAACAGAAGTATAACTTGGTTTAGTTACATTTCAATGCTAAGTTTTATTTTGTACATAAATGACAGTTTGAATGTTATAATATGTATCCATCTGGTAATTAGGTGGCTTCGTTTTCTGAAATATATTTAATTACGATTCACATATCGATTCCATAACTAACTTAGCAGATTAGATACCCCACTCTCCCTCTCTCTCATATTTTATCATTTATGACGTTGTAAGAGTTTTCAAGCTTAAAAGTATAGAATCACGAACCTAGTTTCTTCTGATTACTTAAAAAGAAATAACATTTAATTAGACGGCATGTGAATCACCCAAAGCAAACATTCTATTCAAATACACTCTATTTGACATCAGCTAATTGAGTAAGGAGAGAAAGAAAAAGAATACGTGTAAAGTTACCATCTCTATCTGAAACACCACGAAAGATAACAGAGAATGTGTTATTAAAATTATTAATACAAATACAAGTGTGTCGAGAGTAAACAGATGTGTAAACTTGCATATCTGTATCAAGTTGCAATTGTTTTTTAACATTACTAGATGCTCATTTCTATCATTTTAATTATTACTTAAACAAACTGCTGTAAGACAAACACTCCTGTTTGTAAAATAATACTACTGATTTTTTATTGGTAAACGTAAAAATTCGAATCGTCAAGAATGAATAACACAATGTCTTTAAGTATATATTGAAATCGTAATTTTTAAATAGAAAAATAATATTACAAGCAATATTTGTAATAATAGAGCATTTATTACGTGTACAGTCCATTAACTTATAGTTCTAACAAGTTAGTGAAATAAATATTCGAGTATTGAAACCATGGTTTCTTCAAATCTGAGTTATATACCTATGAGGAGAAGGTAGTAAATATCAGCCAACTATTTTACATTGGTTTACATAAAGGTGGATTATTAGTTAGATCATAATTTGCACACAGACACACACAAAACTTCAGCAAAACAATCGTCTGTTTGTCATATTTCATGTAGTTATGTACAATACCTACATACAAGATACATCTTTGACTTACATATTTCTATACACATATTATGACAAGCCCTTAAAAAGAACACCTGATTACCAAATTTTTTTGAACAATACTCTAAGTAAGCTTTGAACTTATCTACTAGATAAAGATTCGTGCATCTAGCCTCAAAAAAAAAAACACTTTAAGAATGAAGGTTAGTAATACTGCCCGCTTCCTCAAACCAAAGAATGTGTAGAAGGATTCGAACATGAATTTTATTGGATGCAAGTCTAACGTTTGAACCACACAGCCACAGGTACATAATCAGCTTGTAAGAACAGTTAAAATTCAAGTAAAACATAATAAAATCGTGATAGAACAAAGTACCTTTAAATGGTGTTCTTCAGCCAGTATTTGTGTTAAATCCAAAGGAAAACCGTAGGTTTCATATAAACCCCATGCAACTTCACCGGACAAAGTAGTGCTGTTACTCCCTGATGCTTTTAACTCTTTGATTACACGATCAAGGAAACGTCGGCCACGCTTTAAAGTAACTAAAAACTGTTCTTCTTCTTCATTAATAAGTCCTTTTATCTAAAAAGAATATGAATGGAACAGAAATATATTTAAATTAAACTGGGTAAAACGATAAAATGAAACATAATTCAACAATCACATACAGATTTATGAACTCGGCGTACAGCCATACTTTCTGTGAATGGTACGATAACTAATCCGTGTTTGTTCTTTTAGCCTAATGGTTAGAATTCGAGTGATTTGACTTCGATCCATTTGAGCTAATTCTTCACCGATTCTTAATCCACACAAAATTACTTGCTTACCTACACCTGTTACTCCTCGTGGAGGAGTATAGGCCACCCACCAGGATTCTTTATCGAGTTCTGTCCTGGGAAATCCATTCCAGTTGCTAATCATCCTTTTGATGTCTGTTTCCAATTCCCGACGCAGTGTGTTCTTTGGTTTTCTTTTTTACTGTTTCCCTTCAGGATTCCAAGTTAGAGCTTGTCTCGTGGTGCAGTTGGTTGATTCCCGTAATGTATGTCTTGTCCACCTCGAGCAACGTTTTCTAATTTCCTCTTCAGCTGGGAGCAGGTTTGTTCTCTCCCACAACAGGCTGTTGCTAATGGTATCCGCTCAAACGGAAATCCAGTATCTTGCGTAGACAATTGCTTATAAATACCTGTGTTTTTTCATGATGGTTGCAGTATTTCTCCAAGTTTCAGCTTCGTAAAATAGTTAGTTCACGTGTCATAATATTTAAGGATCATGCTACTTCCTTTGTGTATGTTGAGGCCTACTGTTCCGAGATTGTTGCTACAGTGGCTGTCTTCAGCTGCATTTGATGCTATGTATATGTTCCCAATATTTCCTGCTAGTTACTTTGCTGTGTAATATAGTTGTCTCATATTCCCTACTCTTACAGCTTTTCCTGCTGTCGCTGCTAGGTCTTCTACGTATTTCTATTTGTCGGCTCTAATGCTCCTCTTTACTCTCTTGTTTGCTTCTCTGCTCACTCAATCTGTTCCTTGAATTTCTCTGCTCTTCTTCGACTGCTGTTAATTGCTCTCTTCTTGTTTCATTCCTTATGATGATGTTTCTTGCGGTCCAGCACCTCCTGACATGTGGAAGTTAGTGCTTTTTGACTCTTTTCCAGTTGTACCTCACAGTAGTTTCCTCTTCTCTGAATAAACCTTATAAGGCTTGGGACCTGCTGCTGAGAACTACCTTGAATTCGTTGAGTTTGGCAGTATCTCGATGGAAGATTATATTGAATATCCGTAATGTTGTTTCTTCATGTCCCTTTTGTTCTCTTTCCGAATTTATTTCACTGGATTATACTCCTTGATTAAGCTCTTCAAACCCTAATCATTCCGATTACTCATTTGGACATTTGGTTAATATAGAAGGAACGAATTGAGTGAAGAAATTTCTTTTCAATTAGTTTTTCATCATGGCTCTACACTAATATATATATATATATATATATATATATATATATATATATATATATATATATATATATATATATATATATATATATATATATATATATATATATATATATATATATATATATATATATATGATTTACAATAATGATATAATACTCACTGAGTGGATATGTTACGTAATAATTACATAATGACATTTAAATTAACATCGAGTAGTTTGGAAGAAAGATGATTATCAATATTCAAAGTAATTACTAAATCATAAGTTGCTACGTGACTCCCTAAGAAAACTAGGTGTTTCGGTTTGGGTACCTGAACAGTTTCCCAACCCTCACACATGTTGAATGACGAAGGGTGGTGCATATATACTTGGTTGCGCCTTGTACCAATATTTGTGTTTAAATGAATAAATAAATATACAAAATAGAGATATGTACAATTCACAAACGTCCTTTCAGTGTCATTGAAAAATTAAAAAGGTAAACCAGTAAACGTACTGTATCCGGATCTCGGGTTACTTCTGGGAAAGCATCTCCTAACGTCTCAATCACAACGTCAACTAAAGTAGCTAAAAACCCAGGCTTCGCGTTTAAAACCTCAATAGCAAATCTAACAGCACGTCTTAAAATACGACGAATCACATATCCTCGACCAGTGTTCTGAGCACGTCCACCGTCACCTAAAGCAATGGTCAGAACTCGAGCATGATCAGCTAGTACACGATAAGCCATATCAATTTTATCGGTATCTTCAACTCCCACTTTGCCAGTATATGGTCTTGTATTAGTGCCCTGCAAGGTAAAGAGAGAAGGTAAATAAATAAATGTTAAGTATTTGTAAAAATTATACAGCCAGAAAACCAACAATAAGGAACACTAAAAAAGTGATTATTTATTTATTTATTTGAACACATAAATATTGGTACAGGGGGGCACCATATATATATGCGCCACACAAAACAATGATAATTTGAAGAGAAGGAGAAAAAAAATATATATATATATAAAGTGATTAAGACATTAACATTGTTCAATGCCGACTCAGTGGTCTTAAACTCGATCCCCGATTGCGGAGTCGTAGATGTGAACTGTTGAGGAGTCCCACACTACGACGAAAAGACCGTCCAGTGCTTTCAGGTTTTTAATGGTGGTTTAAACTTGGGTCGATTCATGATTTTAAGGGAAAAAAGTATATTATGGAGAACACTTAAGTATTACTCTGAAAGTACTTACAATTATTTTACGACCTGAAAAACAATATTACAAGATGGTTGACTGACTATGTAAAATCTAGCATACGGATGTAACAAACTGGACACATCTGTATAAGGCTCCAACCTGAAGAAATAACTATGAGAACATAACTAAACTTTAGATTTTATGACTAGAGAAAACGTTAGGTGTATTGTGTTTGAAAAAAACTAGTTTGCCTGTAATGAGATGACTCATAAACTTGCATAAAAATTACGTATACAAAGATAAAGCAATATTAAGCCAATTAGTGTAATAGACAGCATACAATAAGAAGTTTCTCGATCCTGTAAAGCTGATGAACAGTCATTTGAATATTTTCTCATCTAACGGTATTTTAAGGATTTCCATATCAATAATGGTGTGGATAGTCAGTTAGTTTAATAAGCTGACAAAATAGATGTAGCTTACAGCCTAAGAGATGAACACACATGCGGCTTATGAGCCAGGTTATTAGTCGACAAAACAACTTTATTAGTGAATAAAAATTTGAGACGAAATGTAAAATATTTTTACTGAGTCATAGGACAAAATCTACTTAGTGAAAGCTATATTACTTTTAAGAACTTACTAAAATATATACTTTAGAGTAGGGTGAATATTCTCGACATGTATTCTTCAATAAAGAGATACGAAATTCCCTATAATCGTGAAGTTTACAATTTATAAGCGCTAAGACAATTACTAAACTCATAAATAACGAATTTCTGATATTCAAAACAAAACTTACAGCTTCGATTTTCTTGAATAAAGGTGTGAATAAGTCTGTATCATAATTAGATCGTTTGTTCTGAAGAACTGATAAGACCCGCTCAAATCCCATGCCAGTATCAATATGTTTTGCCGGTAGAGGTTTTAAAGACCCACCCTCTTCCCTTAAACAAAAGTTATGGAAAGAGAAATGTCAGGCTGTCTTGTAACTGTTGAAAAGATGGGTTACTAAACGCAAACAACGTCTTATTCATAATTCAGATTTTCGCCAAAACCTATCGTATATTGTAGTCACCGAGCATATACAAGTACTTATGCTACATGACACAACCTTATGTACAGAAGAATGACAAGATCTAAGAGAAAATGAGAAAATTAAAACCACCGAAATAAAGATTATTACTAGGGTGTATTTTCAAGACATGAAATAGAAGTTACATACGTAGTTAGGTTTTTTAGCTCAATCAGTAGAGCCTTATATTGTTCGCTTTAAAGTATTTCGTTAGTGTTTTCTTACGGAACAGAATTTTTCCAGCTTTAGCAAACATTCCAAAAATATTGGATATGTGTGATATGGAAATATATTCGACTTAATTTTGATTTTATAACTTATTAATTAAATAAGAATGTGTATACCGAAATATGAATCACAACCACTGTATAAAGCCCATTCCAAACCTCTAGAACTTTGTCATATTATGTAATCAAATTATCTTAATATTCTGCGATAACCCTCTTTTAAGAAACTTTGATTCTTAACTTCTTTCATATTACAAAAAATTGTGTTATTGACTGACAATTAGTTTTTTAAAATCATGTTAATAATCAGAATCAAACATATTATTTTGTATGTGGCCGAAGTTTATTTATTTATTTATTTTAACACATATGTATTGGTACAAGGAGGCACTAAATACATATGCGCCACACAAATATCATTGGATATGTGTGAGGGCTGTGATACTGCCCGGGTGTCCAAACCGAAGCAGGTGTTTTTTTAGGGGGCCACACCCCGAGCCTTCAACCTGAACGTCTGACCCACAAGGCAGTGGAGCATCGTGAGGAGATGCAGTCCCATGGTAGCCGGTGACCAACGATTGATTCATACGCCATTTGTTCCATCAGGATACTGGAGCCCATGCGCACCATTGGTTTGGGATCCGGTTAAAGCGCCGGACATTCGCTTTTCGTCCTCTCATTTTCGTAAAGAACACCCCGCCACGAGAAGGCAGTGAGTAGGACTTCCCTGACAGAGGCTATATACGCGTGGTCATGTGAGAGCATTTCGAGAGGGAGAGCGGACTCTCCCCATTCTCGGCCGTACCAGGGCATTTGGGGGCTGTGGCCGAAGAGAAAGCAACCAAATACAATAAATTTAGAGTTATTTTTGTTTCATTTAGATTTATGAAGGGAAGCGATTGCACGAAATATTGTAGGAAAAGCAAACAAACTGGTTGGAGTTAACATGAGCACATAACTTAGTTGGTTTGGATTTGTAAGCTTAGATCACGTCATCAAAGCTCAATGGGACGAAAAATGTAGATCCCTCATAAAAAACGCTGGCAATATACAACAAATGCACCTCACAGAAGTTAGGTCATTTTTCATGTAACTACATTCAGCATGATCTATTATCGTATCTTCCATTTTAAAAGACAAAACAAACATAAATATACATACACTTAAAAGTTATGTTAGAATACCGGTTAAACTGTATAAACACAAGGTTCCATATTTCCAGTACATCTGGATCATCCTGATTGACCAAATGAGCAGCATCACGATCTCCAATACGATCATAGTGTATCTCAGAGCAAGGGCCACAAGGACCTGTTTCACCCATCTCCCAAAAGTTCTCTTTCATACCAAACGGGAGCACGTGATCCTTAGGTAATCTTGAAATCAGAAAAGTTAAGAATGTCGAAGTCGAGTTTAAGTATCTTCTCAAGTATAATATAAAACGAAAAGATCAGTACAATGTAGAATGTTTAATTTTATGTGACAGGATTAAACACTGGAAATAGAAAATACCAATGATACCCGACCTAGTAGACATATTTTGAGAGCTTGGACCAGTATTCATATTTATTTGAACACATAAATATTAGTACAAAGGAGCACCGATTTCATATGCATCACACAAGTCACTTGATTTGTGTGAGGACTGGGATGCTGCCCGGCTGCACAAACCGAAGCAGGTGGTTTTCTTAAGGAGCCACACCCGGAGCCTTCGACCTAAAGGTCTGATCGACAAGGCAGTGGAGCAACGTCAAGAGATGCAGTCCCATAGTAGCCGGTGACCAACAATAGGTTCATGCGTCGTTTGTTCCTTCAAGATCTAGGAGCCCATATACACTAATGGTTTGAAATCAAGATTTTCTAACTCCCCGGACATCCGCTTTTCGTCCTCTCAAGTTCATAAACAACAGTAATGCCGCGAGAAGGCAGTGAGTAGGACTTTCCTGGTAGTGGCTATATATGTGTGGCCACGTGAGAGCATTACAAGAGGGAGAGCTAACTCTCTCCACCCTCGGCAGTACCAGGGTATTTGGGGGTTTGAACCAACCACTATGCAACTAACCAGTATTACACAGTATCATTATTCAAAAACAAACTATTATGTTTAAACCATGAAAATGCACTAGTTAAAATGCTTATCTAATGTAATATAGGAAACAATCATGAAAAATACGAGGAGTCATATTTTTATACCAACAAGTGCTTAGATGTAAAAACCTGTACATATCTGGGCAGCATCATTGATAAACACGGTGGGTCTGATGCAGATGTGAAGGCGTGGATCGGCAAAGCAAGAGCAGCACATTTACAACTGAAGAACATCTGGAACTCAAAACAACTGTCTGTCAACCAACACCAAAGTCAGAATTTTCAATACAAATGTCAAGACAGTTCTACTGTATATGGCGGAAACTTACAGAACTACGAAAGCCATCATCCAGAAGATGCAAGTGTTTATTAACAGTTGTTTACACAAAATACATCGGATCCGTTGGCCAGACACCATCAGCAAAAACGTACCGTGGGAGAGAACACACCAGATCCCAGTGGAGGAAGAATCGCTGGAAGTGAATAGGACACACACTGAAGAAAGCGTCCAACTGAGTCACAGAACAAGTCGTCACTTGGAATCCTCAAGGCCGGATGAGAAGAAGGAGACCAAAGAACACACTATGCCGAGATATGGAGAGAGACATGAGAGGAATGAACGAAAATTGGACAGAACTAGAAAAGAAGGCCAAGGACAGAGTGGGTAGGAGAATGCTCCATTGGGAGTAACAGGCGTAAGTAAGTAAGTAACTGCCTAGGTTATTGTTAATTCCAAGGTTTGGTAGATGGTACTGTGATCAAACTTATGTCAAACTTTTTGGTACTGTTGAAATTGCTTGTTAATCTCAAAGTTCAAGATCACAGGATGAAAAATGCTCATTGCAGAACCTTAAAAACTTGTTATCCTTTTTTCGAAAGTTAACAGGGTTTATGAAAAACCAACAAGGCAATAAAAAACCTGATATGAAAGTTCTATTTTGGATTACCACACTCCCCACATAATAAAATTTACAGAAATAGAAAGATATATGAGCAAATAAAACGTGGTCATTAGTATCATTATTATCATTGTTGACAATAACTACAAATTACAGATTCGTGTACTTGACTTTGAGTCATACTCCAAGTATGATAGTCAGTGATACTATCAGATGGTCAAAGCTAAAGAGATCAAAGCAACGGTTGAACCTGAATCGCGGTAGCAGAAGGATAAATACCTGCACCCAAATGCCCTGGTGCACATGGGCTTTCGATCCTGAGGAAACAAATGGCATATGAACCCCTTTTTGGTCACCAACTACCAAGGAACTGCGTCTCCCAACGTTACTCTACCATTTTATGGATTAGACCTTTGGGTCAAAGGCTCGGGGAGTGACTCTCTAAGAAAACCAGGTGCTTCGGTTTAGGTACCTGAACAGTATCCCAACCCTCACACATGTTGAGTGACGAAGGGTGGTGCATATATACTTGGTTGCTCCTTGTACCAATATTTGTGTTTAGATAAATAAATAACTGCTAGTAATAAATGAACTGAGAAGCAGAAACAAGTGGCGCGTAATGAGTTTTCGAAACGTAATCAGTAAATACTAAGTGTATATGGACTACTGTAATGAATGCCTCAATGATTTCTTTGAATCGGTCTGTTTGACTGTCCAAGACAGAATTTTCGAGCGGTTGGACAGTTTCAAAATTGATTTTTGTGGGCCATCCAAAGTGACGTATTTAGTTCAAGACGTTAATAATTGATTAGTACTAAAACAGTAGCTACATCTACGACAATTCAAATTTTTCTTCAACTAGCTCCTTGTGTCTGACCAGTATTCCCTATCAAATGTGCGGTTCTGCAAAATGTTGAACATCAAGTATAGATAGGAACTTGCTAAAGATATTAAACTGGAAAATTCAAGTAGAAAGCATCGTGTTGTAGCAACTTCAGAAACTGGCGTTAACTCCTTCCTAAATAAACTACCTCAGACACAATCACCCAAATAAAATATTTCGCAAACCTGCGGCTGCTAATTTTTGTCACTATAGAATTAAATGGACTATACCTGTGGAGACATGATGACACTATCTGCTCAGATGTCAGTGGGAAGTGAGTTTGATTCAGTCATTAGTAGGATGTCAAAGATCTAAGTAACTGACACTTCTTTACAATAACTACCAGATGTTCGACAGACCAATACGGTACACAGTTCAAGGTAGTTAACACGCGATAAACGTGAATATTTTATAATAATACAATAATACCGACGATCTGCAGGTATATCACGCTTCACGTAGGATGCTTTAAAAAACAAAAGAATTTTCAATGCGAAAATACCCAATTGAAATCCAAATGTCACGCGCTTCTTCATCTGCAGGTAGACCATTTGAGATATCACCACCGAAGTATGTAACATACAAACGTTCACTCGGTATTTTCCACACTTCCGTCAACAATTCCCAAGCCCATTCACAAGCTTCCTTTTTGAAATAATCTCCAAACGACCAGTTTCCGAGCATTTCAAAAAACGTATGGTGGTAAACATCACGTCCGACATCATCCAAGTCATTATGTTTTCCTCCAGCTCTGATACATTTTTGGGAATTATATGCTCTTTTGAGTCGACCCAGTTCGCTATTTGGATCCACAGTCCCTTGGAAGATTGGTTTGTACTGAGAAAAATCAAGATTCAATGAGCAGTTACCTGATTCATTCCAGCATTTGCAAACAAAAGTGTGGGGTCATTATGAGGGATAGTAGAGGAAGAATGAACATAAACATGTCCCTTCGATTTGAAAAAATTGAAGAACTGTTGTCGTAACTCGTTTGCAGTGATTTTATTATTCATTGTGGGGACTATTTGAGTAGAAAATACACATAGTACACAGGCGTGACTTTCTTAGTGGGTGAAGGTCAGCTGTAGACGACCTTCGGTGACCAAATACACCTCGGTTCCTATATCCAATACCTTTGTGACGAGTTGAATAAACTGGTTTATTTCTTTGCTCATGCTTCTCAAAGTCACAGTAGGGTACAGGTCTTTAGTAGTAAATATAACCTAGACAATTTAATTCGATTGTATATTTTGAATTTGCTTAAAATGGTTTTGATGCTTATGGAAAGTATATAAAAGGAATTTCGGACTGGAGAAATGTTCACCTCACACCGACATTCACTTCACTAACTTCAAGAGCTGGTCGGTCCCAGATATTTGAGATAGGTCGTTCATTATTTTTAACTTTCTAACTTACTTGTGACCCTCCTTTCGCCTTACCAAAGTCTCAATCTCTCTGCATTAAGTTGTCACATAGGATTTCTCCCAGCACCAACGTCCATAGGAATGTCAGTTCGATCAAATTAATAAATAAAGACATTCTAGTTTGGTTTTTGTAGCCTAACGGAGGATTACGAACTCGTTCAGTGCTTTGAATTCTTTCCTGTACAATCAATGATGACCACAGCTCAACCAGTATTGAGAGACAGCCTATAGATGTTATATATTTCACCGTCTTGTTATCTTATCTCGTTTAGATCTACCCTTTCTTCACAAATAATCTCACAGGACTGTACCACAATGTCCCTCAGTAGCTCCCTTCTTCGTTCAAGTATATCAAAAGACGATAGCGGCCGGTTGTTTTTGTATGATGACTTTAAAAAGCGTAAAATCTGGTGAAGTGATACTGTAAAAGTAAGTACAAGCACAGAAACTGTAACTAACAGCAACTATCGGCTATCGGCGACTGAATGCAAAAACCATTCCCGATCGTTGCCCGTTGCCTCACATTCACGACTTGACAGCTACACCGAAAGGTGCAACTGTATTTTCGAAAATAGACTTCGTTAAAGCTTATAACCGAATTCCCATGACCACTGACGACGTTCCAAAAATCGCTACCATTACTCCTTTCGGTCTTTACGAGTTTTTGCGCATGCCTTTCGGCCTAAGAAATGTTGCCCAAACACTTCAAAGGTTCATAGATCACGTTTTTTGAGGTCTCAACTTCGTACATGTTCATGTTGATAACTGCTTGATAGAAAGTCCAAACAAAGAATCCTATCTCTAGCATCTGGACCTTGTTTTCGAACGACTGCAAAAGCATGGCATTACTGTAAACGTTCAGAAATGCCAAATCGGAACCGACTCTTTAGATTTCCTAGGATACACTATTGATGAGCAAGGCATCCAAACTGTTAGAAGCGAAGTGGACTACCCAGAATCGACTACGATTGGGCAACTACTCACATTTAACGGCCTTGTAAGTTTCTATAGATGGTTCACACCAAACTGCGCGTCATTTATGGAACCGCTAAACGACCAACTCCGTGGAAATGCGAAATCTATCAATCTGGACGATACCAAGGGAAAAGCATTGCACTTATCGCAAAGGTAATCATGCCCGCACATCAGGACACTCAAGAGCCTGGTATGAATAAAGACGTGAGGGAGTGGGCACGCTCCTGTGTAAGCTGCCAGAAATCTAAGGTTATTAGACACAACAAATATCCTTTGGGCCCTTTCAAAACTCCAGACGTTCTTTTCAACCATGTTCATCTGGATTTGACAAGACCTTTACCAGGTTCAAATAGATGCTCTTATCTCTCAACCCGCCTAGACCGTTTCACTCGATGGCCAGAAGCGGTGCCTATCAAGGACATCACTGCTGAAACAGTGGTCCGCTTCTTTGTCGAACGATGGGTAGCAAACTTCGGCTGCCCAACAATAATCACTACAGATCGTGGACGCCAGTTCGAATCTGAACTTTTCCGTTGTCTTACCACACAATTGAGAATCACTCGCTTCCGGACGACAGCCTACCACCCACAAGCAAACTGGTCAGTTGTACGCTTTAAACGACAACTAAAGCATCACTATCAGCCTCAAATATTTCTCAGTGGACTGACGCTCTTCCACTCGTCTTACTAGTTATTCGCAATGCAGTGAAAGCTAACATTGGATACACTGAGTCTCAACTCGTTTATGGAACGGCACTTGTACTTCCAGGAGAATTTGTATACCCTTCGTCTTCTTCAATGAATATGGATCTAACCTCTTACACGAGCAGGCCTACGACATAATATACACGTCTTCGTACGTCGAGATTCACATCGACGACCTCTCGAATCAGTACACGAAGGACCCTTTAAAGTTCTTCAACGCAAACCTAAGTACAATACAGTCTATAAGAATGTAACTAACGATAACATCAGCATACAACGCCTCAAATCAGCGTATTTAGAAGGAAATCCGATATACGTCGATTCAGCAGAATAGAGCAACACGGCTCCTACACCCATAACACCTCATCCGTCAGCCAACACACACGTCGATACTTCGGTAGTATCTGAAAACAAACCTGAAACAACGCGTTCCGGAAGAAGAGTAAGATTTCCAGAACATTTGAACGATTATTGCACATAAGACACCAGTTAACAGTTTACTTCAACTCTATTTTATTTTACATTACTTATGATAAAAAAATTTAATGTTTGTACTTATACAGTTATTCCGATAAAAAATTTTTCACTGATATGTGTATATTTAATTTTTTTCTTAGGAAAAAACAAAAAATTTCTTTAAAAATCGCTTTTACGCCATGTGTATGTGTTTATTTTCCTTTTTCGTTGGCTTTGTGTCTTGACGCGCGTACTAGTGTATTCCGACATGGGCTTAGATATTCTTTTTTTCTTTTCCAGGACGACTGGAAAAGACGATAAAAATAACGATGAAGTTTACGAGGAACCAAAATTTTTCATTGTACTTAGTTTCTTTATTACCGTATTGTGCTATATGGTCCGTTATAGTAAGGAAAGATGACCAGACGCTGCTAAGCATAGTAAGCTGTCAGGAGAGTGTTTACCGACGACAAACTTCTAGCTATCCACGTCTTAGGGTCATCACAACCCTATTATATGTGGAATGTCCTGTAGAGGTAAATAAATCCCCGAAATAGCTGTGTAAATCTTCGACATCCGATGCTGACCAAATTAGCTTTAAAGGATTCACCCGGCTGAAGACGCTCAGTGATGCATCCACACCAGATCACTAGTGGTAACGCCGTGCTTAACATCCCCTTCAACCGCTAGCCAGTTTAGATCAGTTGATTCTCGATATATTGATAGCCTATCAAATATATCTTCGAACCTCCTCACTTCCGTCTTTTGATTTCATTTGGTGGGTACCATTCTTAGTAGGTGTTACTGGTTAAAGCGTTGTCAAACTCTAAATATTTGCGGCATTTTCACTGGTAAAATCAAACCTTATGGCATTTAACAATCAAACTGTAAAGAATTTGAACTAAAATATAAAAAATGTCTCTACCGTAAGAAGAACGACTTTCTATTGACACGAAAAGTAGATCAATTCAATTCGCTTGATAACTGTCTGTACTTTCACTGTGGCACTTGTATATATAAGTTGTATATATTGTTTTCCAAATTAATGAATGACACTGTTAAGATTAACGTTTACTATATATCATCTTAAAATTCTGGGGATCATCTGGTATTATGGGATACCACATTCGTGGAAACAATATCATCACAAGTTTCTTCTTTATATTAAAATCTCAAAGGACTGGATACCTGCTTTGAATCCTGTTAACAGAAAGCACGTGATTATTCTCATATCTGTTATTTCGACTGATAACTGAAACACATGGTATCAGTAACAATTACCAGCGTCTTTAATAATAACCTGGATATTGCCAGTGAAATAAACTGCAAAGATTATTGAAAGTTAGCTGAAACAGGCCATATGACACCAGGATCAAGCACAAAGGCAAGTTGGAACTGACCACTCCACTTGTGGACTGTCTTGACGGTAAAAAAATCGTGTAAATGACAGGGCCTACATATTCGACAAAACTTATATAGGTGGGTTACCTTTCCACTCATGTAAAGCTCTCACAGACAAACAGGAAGAATCTCACGCGTTTCAAATTGAAAGCATTAACTGCTTATACATGAACGCCGCGAGTCTACCAAATAAAGTGAATGAGCTACGTGAATTTAGTAATGCTAATAAGGTTCATCTGATAGGAATATCTGAAACTTGGATATCTTCTCAGTTTTCGGACCAGGAGCTAGCAATACCTGGGATGTCTCTGTTTCGCAACGACAGAAAAACAGGAATTGGGGGTGGAGTAACCCTATACAAACGATCTGGCTTGGAGGTACACCAAGTTCACAACCGTTAGTTTGATAATCTTGAAGAATCTATATGGCGCTTTGTGAGATTGTCCACTCTCCGAGGTGCCTAGTCGGAGTCATATATAGGAGGCGCACTGCCGACATTGAGTATGACAGTCACATGCTGGAAGAACTATCCCGCTCTGTGCGTCTCGGTTTGACTCATATCCTGATTCTAGGGGACTTCAATCTCCCTAGAGTCAACTTCGCGGAACATACGTATATTGGAGGTGAAAATTCAATCGAAGCTCGGCTCTTCAACCTCATTGAGGATTTGGGATTACACGAAAATGTGAAGTTGGCTACTCGTTGAAGGAACAGTCAGACACCGTCGCGCTTATACTGTGTTTTTACGACTGAAGAATTTCTAGTTGACAACCTCTCAATTCAGGCACCCCTGGGGAAAAGCGATCACGCCGTTATAGCCTTCAGTTTTGTCAGCAAAACTGAGCTAAGATATCCTAACAACAACAGGCGCTGGAATTTCAAACGGTTGAATGTGTCAGCTCTACAGGACTATCTACAACAGGTGGATTGGGATGTTCACCCTCAACTTGATTTAGATGCTAACTGGGACATCCTACTGCACACGTTCTTATGTGCTACAGAGCAGTCAGTCCCTCAAACGGTCCTCAAAAGCCGCATGCAACCTACAATCATCAAAAACCGTACTCTTCGTTTGTTAAGCCGTAAAAGGCACTGTTGGGCAGAATACAAACGAACCGACAACAACAGCGAGTACAGGCTATACAAACATATAACGAACATGTGCACGAAGGCTATAAGAGAAGATAAGATTCAGTACCGGCTAAAGCTTGTGGATAAATTTATTTCCAATCCAAAAAGCTTATTCTATTACGCAGCCTCTCTTCGTCAAGCCAAAACTGAAGTTTCTCAACTGCTAGGTCCTAACAGCCCGACAGATAATGACGGTGACGCTGCTAACCTTCTGGCTGAGCAATACTCCCGGACATTTCAACCAACCCACATCAACTATACTGACGACGGCTTCATGTGCAACTGCACAGGACTTTCCGTAGTGAAACTGAGTGCTGACTTGGTTTTCCGAAAACTGCAGCACCTGAGAACAGACACTTCTCCTGATCCAGATATGGTCCACTCTGCTATACTGAGGGAAGCAGCTTCAATCCTAGAAACACCGCTTGATGTTCTCACACTCGCTATGTCGGGGCAAACTACCGGATATTTGGAAGCTGGCTCGTATCACACCAATCTTCAAAGGAGGTCGACGCAGCGAAACTTCAAGTTACCGACCGGTGGCTCTTCTCTCTATACCTTCAAAGATCATGGAGTCCCTGGTATATGATAGTATACACGACTATCTGCTGTCCTTAAATTTTCAGGAAGGGCGACTCCTGTATGACGAACCTGCTGACTGCAGTGGACAGATGGACAAGCATCCTTGATCGCAAGGGCAAGCTGTATATCATTTACCTTGAATTCTCTAAAGCTTTTGATATGTCTTATCAACAAGCTCAAACAATTGGGTATCAAACCACCTTTAATTGACTGGCTCAGTTCATATCTGACAATCGACATTTTAAGGTCAGGGTAAATTTCAATTTCTCACACGCTATGGGGTCCCCCAGGGCTCAGTACTAGGACCTCTTCTCTTCCTGATTTATATAAATGATCTTCCTCAACAGGTAAGGTCAAACATATTGCTCTTTGCCGATGACGTGAAACTTTGGAGAGAGAGATACGCAACCAAGAGGATAAACAGGCACTTCAGGATGATCTGACTCGACTCCAAAGTTGGGCAGATGACAACTGACTTACCTTTAACACTTCAAAGTGTAAAGTAGTCCATCTGCGACACGTCGCAGATTACAGTTACAACTTAGGAAACTCCTCTCTAGTAGTATCCCTAGTCGAAAAAAAGCTTAGGATTTCTTGTGCTCTACAGCTTAAAGTCTTACGCTAACTGCGACAGGAATGCCTTTCGAACAAACCTTGCATTGGTAACATTGAAGCGCATTTTTGGTCAGTTTGACGTGAGAACTTTCCACATAATCTTCAATAGTTTCACTCGTCCCAATTTAGAATACCGAAACATAGTATTACATTCCAAATTGATAAGGACACTCTGTAGCGTATCCAACCGCAAGCCACAAAATCAGTTCGGGGACTCAAATTTAAACCTTACGATGAGCGCCTCCAATCACTCGATCTCTACCCATTAGAGTATAGGCGTCTTTGAGGTGACCTTCTAATGGCCTACAGTATCCTTGAAACTTCTGGACATCCTCTTAAACACCTACTTAAGCTTAGTCCCAACACTAACCTAAGGGGTAACACCCAGAAATTAGAGATGCAACATAGTAGAACGGACTGCAGACACAACTTTCACTCCTTAAAAGTTGTCTAAGGCTGGAATTCGCTGCCAGCTGAGCTAGTCCAAGCGCTTTGGCAGGAGTTCATTAAGAGGCGACTTGATCTATTTTTAAGGACTAAGGATAGTATCTTACTATGATTTGCCAATTCGTTTTTCTCTTTTATCGTTAATATACCTAGGTACTTGCCTGGAGATATTGGTGATCCCCTGCTTCTAGACACGGAAGCCTGTTAAGCGAAAGCTTCTTCTATTCCGTCCACAATCATTTGAACCATTTGACCCATTTGAACACTCATCATTGTAGGCCTAGTCAATATTTGAAACTGAAGGTCATGATGTTTGGTTGACTCTTCTTTAAATTTCCACGTCTCATACAGGAAGCTCATAACTAACATATTAATGCATCCTGCTACTAAACCTGAAGATGTAAGTTTCAATCCTTGCTTTTTTATTTACGAATAACGTAAAGTCAAGTCATCGAGTCCCAATCGGCATAAATATTTTGACAGGTGGTTTAGCAGGATGTGTTGCAAAGACAACAATTGCTCCACTCGACAGAGCCAAGATAAATTTTCAGTGTAAGGTTCTTGTCTTTATTTTGGCCTTTTTAGCTACTCGAATGCCGTTTAATGTGCGGAGTCTTATTCAGTTTCTTAAAAACACTTACCAAGAACAAGGATTTATGTGCTTATGGCGTGGTCACACTGCAACTCTTGCCAGAATTTTTCCTTATTCTGCTATTCAGTACTCTGCTCATGATCATTACAAACATTTACTTGGGATTAGTTCAACTTGCCATTCGTGAGTTTCCTGATGTCTTTTAGATCATACTCCTTTTAAATGTCTCATAAATAAATAAAGTTCGTCTTTTTTCGATTGTTAATCTCTATACACATGTTACTCAAGTGTTTAGTCACCCGGTAGTATGCCTTAAGTAGACACACGTGAACTTATGTTTGTGAAGTTTAATCAAATTGACAGTTATAATACCAATCGCCTTTCTTCTACTTATTTTCAAGTAGTTTCAGTCGCAGTCGAACACAACACTAATCCTCATGATGCCATCATCATATTTGAAATCGAGTGCTTCCCTTCTCCCCACTTGGTGAGATCCTCATGGGAGAACTGCAATAGTTATATCTACGTCAGAAAATTGGTTTTCTGGTCTACAGATGTAATTACGACAGATAAATTTTATGAAAATAGGAAAGGCACCTGTCTGAAGTTTTGGAAAAGGCAATTTCAAACCAGTTCGGTACAATATTTTGATTGTGTATTTACTTCAAAGGGTCTACAAGAGAACGACGGACAGTTTGTTGACTTTAAATCGTCCAGTCTCACAAAAATTTCCCCGGCTCTTATTACAGTCCGCGCAATGCCTAATTTCACTTTATAACCATCATGGTTATTCTTCTAAGGCTAGTCGTTCTGTCTCTTTCTGCAATTTCTATTGTCTGGAGATTTTTCTCATCTAGATTTATTTTTGTAAGTAACGGGTACTTCGTTCAACTTCTCAAACATTAGCCATTTACACAACAAATAAACAAACGACGATGTTTTGATTAACACACTGGTGAAATGTAGGATCATTTAAATGCATTACTCTACAATCAAGGAATTTTTAGGATCTATTTCTCTGGATCTGAAGGCAAAATATTGTTCCACAACTGCTTCGTGTTACTGCCTAGTTTATTTATGAGAAGAAAGTAGGTTAGGTTGATTGTTTGCTTTTTCTCTATACTCTAATGAACCTTGTTGGCTTGGTAGCTGAGTAAACGTCAAAATTAATACTGAGAACGATTTGTTTCTCGCCAATTAACGTCTTTTGTTGCTCCGGTCTACTTGTTATGAGTTAATATGTCTATAAACAAAGGTCGTTCAAGGTTACATGTAAACGAGTCTATGCAGTTTGATTCGCGATATAATTTCCACCTATCTTCGTACATTTTTAATTTTTCTATATTTATTCATCGGCTTTTATTTTTCCTTTGATATATAGAGAAATTTCGTATATACGTTTACGACGATTTCTCGCTGGTGTTGGAGCTGGGACAACATCGGTTACCTGTACATACCCACTTGATGTTGCCAGAGCACGTATGGCAGTTACAACTGCCTCCAAGTTAGTTGATTGACATTATGTTAAAATTAAAATCATTCATGTTTACAAATCCCTTTTTCCAAGCTCATGTACTCTAATGTTATTGACCTTCTTCGCAATATACTATCACAGTTTATAGAAAGGGAACTCACTGTTTTGCAGTCAGTTTATTTCAAAGGTTTCCTTAAGAACCATTGTTAGGTGAAAAATGATTAAGAACGAAGAAGCGTTGGATAACTGTTTTGTTCTAGTTTGAGATTCTTCAACAATACCCAGTGTTATGAAACACTTTAAAACATTTAATTTACCAAGTACAAGTTTGTATAAATGACTTTAAATCATACCTTAAATCCGAAAGCTGGTAATAAAATCTGGACGCTAAAGCAAATGGAGCGGAATTCGTAACTTCAGGTCTTTGTTTCAAAACGAAGCGCCTTAATTAACCACTGCAACACAGCGACACAGCATCAGTTATCACATCTTATGAATCCATCTGATTACTCACTCTAAGAAGTAGCTTCATTTTTCATCATAAACGTAATAGTGCTGCACCTTTCAACGAATGTTAACTCTCTTTTCGAATGACGTTCCTAATGTTTAGCTTGATTACTACTGCTACATTACTTCAACTCCTTTGCTATTAATCTTGTTATTCTCATCTCATCGCACTAATGTGATATGGCAATTTAGGTCAATTCACATCTGTTACAGGCTGTGTTAATGATATCTCCATATCTATCTGATACCCATAATTTATCTACATATAATCAAGACCTAAATTTAATGTAATACAGATGAATGTTCTGCTTGTGAACATGGTGTGTTTTTTAAACGAATACAGCCGAAAAACATCTCAAAAATGGTTAAGAGTTCCCACCTTGGGATAGAATGTACTTTCTTTGCCAGTATTTGGATACTGAGATTGTAGGGTTTCACTAAAACCTGGGGGCATCGAAAGTCTATTTTTCTCCAGTATGGGGCTTCCCAGCTGTGTCCACTCTCAATCACATACGCGGCAATCGAACTCAGCACCTCCGATCTCACATACAAACGCTTAACACCTCCGAATGTCGCCTTGGTGGTCCAGGGGTTAAACCTTCGAGTGCGACACTGAAGTTCCTGGGTTCTATAGCCTGTGGTGGGTTTGTGGATGCGCGTTTTTGAAGAATCACATGCTAAGATGAAACAGACGTTCAGTGCTGCCAGGCTTTCCATGGTGGTTTAACTTAAATCAGGTCTCGATTTCAATGTTTTTTCTTTGTTTATTCATAAATATTCGATAGATACGTTTTGTTGAGTTTTTTAAGTCTAATTTATTTATTTGTTTAAACATCAGTGTTGGTACACGGAGGCACCAAATTAATGTGCGCCCCACAAATCACTCGGTTTGTATGAGGGCTGGGATACTGCCCGGCAGCACAAACCGAAGCAGGTGGTTTTCTTAAGGAGCCACACCCTGAGCCTTTGACCTAAAGGTCTAATCCAAAAGGCAGTGGAGCAACGTCAGATGGTTCAGTTTCATGGTAATTGATGACTAACATTTGGTTCATACGCCATTTGTTCTGCCCAGGATCCTGGAGCCCATGAACACCATTGGTTTGGAATCAAGGTGTTCCAACTCCCCTAGATAGATCCTTCATATCCACCAACCCGGTTAAGGCGCCGGAAATTCACTTTTCGTCCTCTTAATTTCGTAAACAACAGCGATGCCGCGAGTAGGTGGTGAGTTGGAGTTCCCTGGCGGTGGTTATATGCACGTGGCCATGTGAAAGCATTTCGAGAGGGAGAGCTGATTCTCCTCACTCTTGGCCGTACCCCGACATTCCGGGGTAATTTAAATAAAAACATTCTTGATAATATTATTCTCTCAGAAATCACTGGGAAACTAGGTTTTTCTCGCCTATTATTCATTGGTGTGAGGGGGGTGAATAGTCAATTCAAAATATCCCAGTGAATAAATATTCGGTTCGCTAAAGGTGTTTTAGTTCATTTCCTCATTGTAAGCTTATCCAACTCTTCATATTATTACCGTATATAGCGAAAAAGTAATAATAAATTAATTTATTGATCAGTTTGACTTTGACGTATTTTTTCTCTCAGTTATCATTATTCAACGCGCCGTTATCTTCACTGTGTAATCTTTAAAGTTGTCTTACCTACTGGTTGACATCTTCCCAAATATTACTCGTTTTTCGGCTTCAATATAGATGCTAATTTATGCATAGAATTATTGCTTAAGTAAATTCATTATGGTAACCATTTATGCTGGATTCTTTTTAAGCTGATCAACCAATCGACTGTTTGTGGTTCTTCTATTAAGAATTATTACTCAGATTTTTATTTATGGCAAATGAGCACACTGTCAGGATTCCTAACTCATTCTATCAGTTATCCAAAATTGTCATACAGAGTTGTATATGAACTGTAAATAGTTGTGGTTTAGATAAGTTTTATTGTTCAAGGTGTACATTTTCAATTGAATTGTGTGCTCATATCTAGGAACAAAGGTTTTAGATATATAGATGGGACACAATAACACTGGCGTTACTTATTATGATGAAATCACCATAAATTGGGAATCGAGTTTTTTCAAAGTGTGTGCACACTGTTGAATACTGACCAAGTAGTACAATAATTATATTATGTTCTCAGCAAAACATGACGATCTTGAGTTTGACACTCGTACCTTGGGTTTGTTAGGGCACGTTACATTTTCAGATGCAGCGTACTATGAAGTCGATCTTAAGATTCATAAATTTATTTAAAGCGGTTTCTGTTCATGTGACAAATTTTTTAACCAATAATCACTGAATGCGATTGGTATATAATGGGATGAATTGGAATGTGAATTATTATTCGTCAGTATTTACCAAACTAATCTTCTCGATAAGATTTGTGTTTTAGAGTAGTCAGGGCTATGCGATAGCGTAATAGTTGTATTCTGGTATCGAGGAGTTGTGATAACACATCAGGATCGCTAGTGTACATAATTCTGAAAAAGTCTCAACCTAGGATCAAAAAGTTGTTCAGTGGTCTTCGGTGTTTATCTAAAAATGAAGCCATGATTGTATTTTCTTGCTGACAACCTATTTCGGAATCACTTAGTTTAGTATGATAAGGTTTTCAATTTATTAAATAATCTACTTTCAGTCACCATCGTAATTATATTTACAACAGATTATCTTGTTCACTACTTTTATCCGTAACGTATTTTTATATATATTAGTGATCGTATAAGCACATGATAAACACGTGATTATATATATTAGGTCACGAGAAAATCCAGTGGTATTTTCTGTTTAAACGTAGCTGATTTTTTAGAATTTGCATTAACTCATGATATCTTAATTCCAACTTGTAGTAACTTATTGCTAAAGATTTAACGGGATGAATTAAGATACATCATTAACGTGAGACGCAATGGTTTAATGGTTTAATCACTCGATTCGATTATAGATTCAAACTCCTCTTCAACTACCTTGGGGAGTTGGTCACAAGACTCAGAACCTAGTACAGATTCATATTGACTTTAGTTGTCATACAATATAAACACAATCAGATAAAATAACCATGCCGGTAATAATAGTAACAGTGATTGTGATAAAGACTGAGCATTGAGAATACAGTCCAAACGAAGGTATGTATGGGAAGGTATTTAAACTTAGGATCTGGAGAAGGGTAAATAGTAAATCCATGCATGTACTGATTTTTCGAAATTACCCAGTCATTTTATGGAGATACATTGCTTTTTGCTCATGATTGTCCTGCGATTCATTTATCAAGTGCAAATGTATTTACTTAACTTGACCTACACTGTTTGTACGGGAGCCAATAATACTACTTGACTGTTCAAACTAATGATAATGGGGGGGTTTATATGCGGAATCTATTGATTGAAAGTCAAGTGTTTTAATCATAACCGATATCACTGCTGCCACCACCCCAGTGATTATTTGATATCCAGATTAATTTAACGCTGATCTAACTACTATAAACTGGTTAAATATTTAAAGCTAGGATAAGATTAAATTAATCCACGTTCACTAACTTATCTTAGGTTACTTAGGTCACTAAGACCACCTCTAACCCAATTTCCTTTTCAGGTACCTCTAGAAGAACCCTTCCACGGTGTGGGCAACCTGGAAGTGATAACCGCCCTCATAACTTCAACAGCACTCAAGATCACTGTATTCATAATCAATCTCCTTCTTCAATTTCTACGTTGTAGCTGACTGACTAACCTAACTAATTCCATACACAACAAGATATATCTTTGCAATCCATTATACAGATTATAATGTTCCTAAATTTCTCAAAACACTTAAAATTTTATCGTCTCTATGTTCATATGCACTATTGTTCACAAGAAGAGTTTTGAACAACCTTATATCCTTTGATTACTGCTTCTAATTATCTTTTTTTGCTAACTGATAACCATTCGAAAGTTATTCTACACCTACGATATAAAACTTGAAGGTCCTAGCTTTTAATCCTAACAAAACAGTGGATAATATACACTTCTGAGTAGTCTCGATGACCTAGCTTTCCTTAGTTTTTAAAAAGTATTCCAACTGAAGTTAATTCATGATCAGTACCAAGTATAAATTAAATAAACTTCCAAAACCTCTCCAGACAGAAGACAACCACATTTATTGAAGTTTAGTGGTATACTGATTTTCATCTGTATGTAATCGTTGTAATTTATTTTAAATTAGTAAAAAATTGTTTTAAGACGATCATCATTGATTGCAGACCATAAAAGAATATATATATATATATATATATATATATATATATATATATATATATATATATATATACATATATACCTTGGATCGACGCAGTGAGAAAAAGCTAAAGAAATGTTAATTAGATGAGTCGAAACAATATTCGTACCATTCATAACAAATAAATTATCAAGCATGACGAATACATAGTTTGTAAAACAAAATAGATTAAATTGAGGCAAAAGAGGTATAAAATAATAATAGTAATATTAAACTCGTAATCTACAGGAAAATGAATAGACATACCACTGCGATCGATTTCAACCTACTGTCATCCAAGGTCTCTAAATATAGATTATGACTCTAACGGATTCTAACATGAACGTCTGTATCTCTCAACACATCTTATACTAATATTCAATGAATTTGTGAATTATTGTGATATTTTGCTCCAAATCTTTTCTTCTACCAATTTGCATGTTAGTCAGTATAGTGTGTTGACGATTTGTACTACAAGTTCTAATTGAAAAGTTGATATAACTTCACAGTCTGATCGACAACCTTTATGTCTCAATCTGATACCTTACAAACAACTTCAAAATGCAATCAGAACAGTTGTATTGTTAATTTATTTACAATTAATTAATAAAACTTTGAAACCACCAATGAAAAGTAAATATTACTAATGCTAAGTGGACTGTGATAAATACTACGTAGTATTTTTTGAGCAAAATACTTTACTCGACCAGTCTTAAATCATCATGAAACTTGTAAGCAGATAAGGGTCTATTTGAGAATCGAAACAAGAACATATTGTGTAGTAAAAATGTTAAGTATAACTTACATAGGAATCTTCCATCTTTTTAATTCATCCAGTAATACTTGATTGGTTAAAAATAAAACAATTAACATGATCCGACATACACTGTTCAATGCTCTATCCTGTTGACATGGAGATTTACCCATAAAACTTAAATTTTGATCACAATGGAATAAGCATAAATCTATAGGATCTAATTACATTTTTGTCAATGGAATAAAACTGAGTTATCTTGATTCTTTCTGTGAATCTGTATACTTAACAGTATACTACTTTTAGTAGATGTACTTGTAATCGTTAGTTGAGCTAATTCTACCGTTAAATTATTCTATATATCATTAAAACTAGTTATTTATAAAATTATTGCTGTTATCATTATTTTTGTGGGGTGTTGTTAATACTTTTGAATTTAAAGTTTTACATTATGAAATATCTGTTTAAACAACTGTTTAAAACCAGAAAGCATTGAACAGCTGTTTCGTCCTGGTGCAGATCACGTCAGTAGTGCACATACACAGCCCCACCTGTGATTGAATGCACAATCACTAAGTTGTTATCCACTGGTTTATATTTCTAACCCTAAACAATTCACGGTCTTACTCAACTATCGTGCACTGCCTTTGTTGATATTTGTCTCACTACTAACAAGATTGAACACTACTGGTTACTGCTTTCTATTTAAAATCCAGGAATTACCTCGAGGCTAATCACTAGTAATCACATGATAACTGTTATTGTAGGGACCTGTGAAGATTTTTGAATATGAAGTTTCCTATTACTGACTGGCTGTATTTAGGCAGTGGATAATAATTGCACTATATCACGAAACAATGGAAGTTAAAAATGTAAACCATTGGGTTATCGACGTAGTGGTGTGAGGGTTAAGCATGAGCTCCTAAATCTAAAGGCTCCGTGTTCGACCCCAGCTAGGGTTGCGGATGCTTACTGTTGCTGAGTCTCATACTAAGTCCAAATAGCTGTGTCAGTACCCTTTTGTTTTTCCTGGTTGTCTAAGCAAAGGCTATCCGTAGTTTGATACTTCATTATTATGGATCTCTATTTCGTTACTTCCGCCATATATGATTTCTTTTGTTCATTTACTCAGATATTCTAGTCTTTTTCATGCTATACGAGCTCTTTATACAGAAGAAGGATTAAGTGCATTGTATCGTGGTTTTTCCCCTGCTCTCCTCGGTATTATCCCATATGCTGGGACAGCTTTCTTTACATTTGAAACATTGAAAGAAACTTGTTTAGGTAAGAAGTCCTTTTTTATATCATTTCTTTACCTATTTACGATTGATCGTCTTTTTTTATTCCTCTCTATCAAGCACCTTATTTTAACTCTTGTTCTTCTAAAGCTATTGTTTTAAAATTATTTTACGTGTATGTATGTAATGGTTCACTGTTTGTTGGTGTTGTCCACCACACTGTAGGTAACTCCAAAGCAGTTAATCACTCAGTTTCCGACCAAGTTTTGTCTTCTATTTACGTCTAAATCCTTTTTTTGATTTAGCTAACCATAATGTATTGTTTTTTCTCACACAATGTCAAGAAAATGAATCCTCTGTAATTTAAAGATGTCTACCATTATGGTATGACTTCAGTTCGTAAAGGGTAAGAACACCCATAACATAAGCATCTTACATTACGTCATCACTACTAATAACACCACTGTTTTTTTTCTCTTTCTGTCTGTGTTATTCAGTGTCGTATTTATTTCTAAATGAAATATTTAAGTTTAACTGATGCAAGTCAATCGTTCAGATGTTAAGTTATGATTTTCATGTGTGGTAATTATTATAAATTGATCGTAATAATTTGTATTGTATATGTTTACATAAATAATGTTTATTTACTTTTTTATTCAGACAGAAACAAAGATCCCATTACTGGTAAACGACCTAAAAAACTGTATCCATTTGAAAATTTATGTTGTGGTGCAGTGGCCGGAATTTTGGGACAAACTGCTTCTTATCCACTAGATATTGTTAGACGAAGAATGCAAACTGCTAATATTACAGGTATGCTATTTAACTTGTTTTCGGTGCTGTGTATACCTTTATTTTCTTCTTTTTTCATTTTACTTCGTTATAGATAAATTCACTCACCGTCTTACATCTAATGAAGGTTGAACTTGTTAAACATGTGGTTGTTCTTAATGATTACTTTATAGTTTTTGAATCATGAACTGATCTTAGCCAGACTATCATTGAAAACCTGAAGGGACTGAACGGCGACTTTGTCCTAGTATAAGACTGCTCAGTAATATGCATTCACATCCCCGCGCATCCTGGAATCAGACCCAGGACTTTCGGTCTCGCGCGTGAACATTTAACCTGTAGATCATTGAACCGATAACCGACAGTGTTAATGTATAACTTCAATCAACTCATGATATTGCGAAACCTTCATCTATTCCTTACGGTGGATAACTGTGCCATAGCTGACAATTAGAAATATACTATAATGAGAATAGAAGTATCATTCAGAAATCTATCGTATAATGTATATTTTCTTTAGAAGTTATTGCGAATATTGATGCATTTTAACTAATTATACATTTTTTATTATTATTCTAATCATTAGATTAGATTATAAACTGAAATGATAATATAAGTTAGATATTTCAGTAGTTTAGTTGTTTAGCTCAGTTTTGTTTTAAAGTGGAGATTTTTTTAAAAAACATTTTTTGTGTATTTTTCTGTGATTGCTTATTTACTTACGTCTATTACCCCTCGTTAAACATTGATCAACAACCAAAAATCTCTAACTATCTCTGTCCTAAGCTTTCTGTTTTAGTTGTTCTCCTGCTAGACTTAACGCTTATTACTAGTCTATTTTAAATGTCCAATTCATAAGACATAAATCTACGCATTTTTGTTGTGTTTTTTTTAAAAATATGTCAGGCTTCACATTAATATTATAATCGACTGACTTTTCTCAATCACATGTAATATTTTGGTTTATGACCTTATTTGTTTAATTAGCTTAAGCGTATTGAACAATTTTCTCTCGATTAGTTTTTTTCTCCAATAACTAAGTACAGATTCGTGCATATTTGTAAATATTTGGTTTAAGAGTTGTTCATGCGATTACATAACTGTTTTAAACCAAAATCAGTGTTATCTGCGAGATTTAACTTAAGAGTTAATTATTGAAAGTTGAATACACTTTAACTACTAATATACTCTGTCTATTCTTAATCATAAATAAGTTTATTTAAACCAGTTAAAACCACACTCTTTTTATGTATCAGAATTAATATAAAAAACAGTGGATTGTACTGTGATGTGTGCTACTGATGACAACAGATATAAGTAGTATGCATCACCAGTCGAAAGTGGAATACCTGGCGGTAAAGGTTAAGATAGTTCGAAAAGAAGAGAATGAAAACATAAAGTGAGTGATATGGAAATGAAGGAATAACAAAGTCTGAGACAATTCATGGATATTTTGCAAATGAAGTATTTACTGTATGGTTCTCAGATTTTACCAAGATATTTTGTAATGTATTAAAATACATTTATTTGTCCTCACTGGTGTTCTCGTTCACAACAGTATTATGAAAAAAAATCATAATGATAATTATCGTATTATGATCAGAATAGGGTTTGTGAAGATTGTAGTAATTTTAATAGTTGAATTCATCAATCTATGTAAGCTAGGCCACCATTGAATAACTGGAAGCAATGAACAGCCGTTCCGCCCTAGTATTGTAGTGAACAAGAACACAGGTGGGGACAACCAAATTTTATTTAGCTCAAATTACAGAGTTAATTGGTAAAATAGAGAAACCATATATTAAATCGTTAATTTGCAAAATATCAATCCTTCATATTAAACTGAACTGTTCCTGTTGTAAATATCAATCCATTGACTGACATTTCATTGTTCGTGATTTTTCATACAAATTCCATTGTGTTGCCGCTCTTCCTCTCTTGATTTTCCCCCATCTTCTGCTGCCCGACATTACGTTTAAAACTCGCGTTATATACTACTTATTATATCAGTATAAGTAGCGCGCACCACACTCGTCCCCCCTTTTAATAAGCTGTCGTCGTAGTCTTTCTGATCGCCGTACCGCTGTCTTCTTTGATGCTTTTCGTGACTCACACACTTGACGATCTTGAAACCATCTCTGCAATTGACTAGCATTTACGCGCTTCTGCTTGTCTTCTCTCCGGATCTTGTAAACCGCGCCGCGTCTCTCTGTGATAACGTACGGTCCTTCCCACTTTGGGATCAGCTTTCCCGACCCTGATCCCCCTGTCATGCTACTTTTCCGTTCTCTACACTTTACTAGATCCCCCACTGCAAAAGGTTTCCACGTTCTCCTCTGTTGTTCCGCCTTCTTTATGTCTGATATTTGCTTTTTTTCCACGTTCCTGATTGCCTCCCTCCTCTCTTTTCTTAACCTTGTTGTCATCCATTTCTGTTGTTGTGGCCAGGTCTTGTTGTGCATTGGAAGTCGTGGTTGTCTGCCATACATGAGCGAAAAAGGTGATTTCTTGGTTGTTCCTTGTATGGAGGAACGATACGCCAGCAAAATCATTGGTAACTCTTTCTCCCAATCTCCTCCTTTAGATGCTAACCATTCCTTTAATGTCCAGTTGTTTCTCTCTGTAAGCCCGTTTGTCTGAGAATGATACGGTGTAGTTCGTATCCTCTTGATGCCAAACTGCTTTAGACGGGCTTTAAACTCGTCACTTTCAAAACAGGGTCCCTGGTCAGTTAATATCATCTTCAGTATTCCGTGACACGTTACAATATGCCGGATTACTACTTCGGTCACTGTTCTTGCTCGCTGGTCTGCAATGGGTACGGCATCTACCCAACGTGTAGCATGCTCCGTCATCACTAGCAGGTACTGATTACCGCTCGCCGTCTGTGGGAAAGGTCCCATCACATCCACCGACCACAAATCACCGACTGCGGTTACTGGGATTGACTGTTATGGCGGTTGTGTGTATCGATCGCTTTTCATTAGTTGACACTGCTGGTAAGTTAACACGTATTGAGCCACATCGTCTCTCATGCCCGGTCAGTATGCACTTTGTCGTAGTAAGTCCGTCGTTCTTGCGATGACTGTATGTGCTACCTGGTGACACTCGTGTATCATCTTACGCCGCCAGTCTTTCGGGATTACAGCCACCCAATTCTTGTCATCGTCCTTCCAGGTCAGGACTTCATATGCGTTCAATCTCAGTCGTTCCTTTTGCCGAAGTAACATTTGTACCTCCTTGTCCATTGTTCGTTTTTCTACGTCTGCTCCCTCTTTTATCACTCTGATTACTTCTCGAAGGTTAGGGTCAGCTCTCTGCTGCCGGACGAGTTCTAATGGTTCTCCCCCTAGACTATTCACCGCGTATGCTGTCAATGGAAGGTCAGCTTCCATGTCTGGTCTTGAAAAGTAATCCACCATTACGTTTTCCTTTCCTGGGACATGGCCGATACTGAAGTTGTATTCTTGCAAACGTATCATCCATCGCGCCAACTTCCCTCGGGGGTCTCTTGCTGTTTTCAACCACTGCAGGGGTTTATGGTCAGTCTCAATGTGAAATCGTCTTCCTAAAAGGTACGGTCTCCATTTTTCTACTGCCCACACGATTGCCAGGCACTCCTTTTCTATCGTTGAATACTTCTGCTCAGCCTGTGTGAGAACGCGACTTGCGTATTCCACCACTCTATCAGCCTGACTCAATACAGCACCTATACCATGATCACTTGAATCTGTGGCCACGGTAAATAGTTTCCCGGGTTCAGGCAGTCGCAGCGTCATCTGACGATCGTCTAGCATGTTTTTGATTCGGTTTAAGCTTTGTTCGGTAGTCTCAGTCCACGTAAACTTAGTGTTGCTCAGAAACTTATATAGGGGTGCTGCTATTTTGTTGAAATTCTTGACAAACCGACTATAGAACGCCGCTCTTCCCAGGAACTGTCTCAACTTCCTTTTCGAATTAGGTACTGCACTATTTTTTATGGTAAGTATTTTCTCTAGTGAACAGTTTCGCATACGTTTTGCATAACTCGTTAATGTTTGGTTTCTCCGTTGAGACGTCCGTTGCCACTCTTATTTCAGCCACTTCGCTAGTTTCGTGTATTGGCAATGAACCATACTTTGTGACCACCTTACCGCTTCTTAAGTCAATGATCGCTTTTACTTCTCTTAGGAAATCTGCTCCTAGTATCGGTCTGGATAAGCTTGTGGTTACCACCAACGGAAAATTTATCTCAGCTCCACCCACTTTTACAATACTGTTAGGTACCTCCAACACCTCTAACATGTGCCCTCCTATAGTGTGGACAGCTAATGTACATGGCTTGAGTGTCTTACATTGCTCTTTGCCTATTAACGATACCGCTGCTCCTGTATCAATCAGACATACTAAATCCCGTTAATCTATATTCACTCTCGTATAAACTGCCCCTCTATCTACTAATGCAACAACCGCCAGATTCCTAGGGTAGAAAGAACACACGTTATAACGTCTAAAATATCTGAGTCGTCGTCTTGTTGGACAGTTTGCCTTCCAATGTCCTGTCCCTCCACAAGCGTAACATTTATCGTTTCTTTTATGATTTACTCGTAATGCTGCAATCTCACGCTCTAGCTGCTCAATCTTCTTCTCGACACTTATCTCCTGCTTTTCGTACCCGACCGGAACTACTGTTCGTGTCAACAGCTGACGAGTCACCTTCGCCAGTTCACTGACATCCATAGGTTGTGCTGCGTTTACTAACTCCAGCTGCTGAGAAACGGTGACAGGGACACCCCATAAACTGCGACGCCAGCAACTGCGCCTCCGGCTCCTCATCCAGATTTGGCAGCGCGCGGCGTAACAACCTGGTGAGCTCCACAGCCAGCACCAGTGGGTCACCATCGACCGACAACCTCGCCAACCGGAACTTCTGCAGTGCCTCCCCCCTGTCCACTGGGCTGTCGAACTCCGCCACAAACCGTTCCGTAACTGCCTCTCACGTCTTCTTCCCGCCAGAACCGTCCAAGCTGTCATATACAGCCTTCGCCCTGCCCCTCAGCAGCATCCCCAGGACCACCAACTTCGCCTTCGGCTCCTTTACGCCCAACAGCTCCGCCACGGCCGCAAACCCCTTCAGGAAGACCAGCAAATCTCCGTCCTCAAACTCCTTCGGCCATGGGATCTTCATCGTCAGTGGAGGCAGCGACACCAAATGTAGTGAACAAGAACACAGGTGGGGACAACCAAATTTTATTTAGCTCAAATTACAGAGTTAATTGGTAAAATAGAGAAACCATATATTAAATCGTTAATTTGCAAAATATCAATCCTTCATATTAAACTGAACTGTTCCTGTTGTAAATATCAATCCATTGACTGACATTTCATTGTTCGTGATTTTTCATACAAATTCCATTGTGTTGCCGCTCTTCCTCTCTTGATTTTCCCCCATCTTCTGCTGCCCGACATTACGTTTAAAACTCGCGTTATATACTACTTATTATATCAGTATAAGTAGCGCGCACCACAGTATGGGATTCCTTAGCGTTGCGTGCCCACGATCCCGCACGCGGGATTCAGATCCAAAACCTTCGGTCTATTAAAATTATCGTTTTGTTATAGTGTTTCATAATATAAATCCCAAAGTTAAAGCAAAAAATTGATGTGATACTGAAAGTCAAATGTGATTGGTCACTGAGCGTGGACGAATATGCACTTAACTTATAGACTGTTAAATATGTGTGATTTCCTTTCCTTTCATTGATTTTCCACTTTGAACTCATTAAGACACTGATTACTTGTAATTTTATTGAATCAAGTATTATCTAGATTATACTTAGGTTCTCTATTCTGGTTTATGAATCTTGGATCTGATATAACATCGTGACACTAGTCTCGTCATATTAACATATTATCGTAATATATATGAAAGTGAGAAAAATATTTAAAACCATCCATTACACATTAAAAAACAATAACATTTCTGTCAAGTGATCTCTTCATTTATTGCTCTCATTTTGTTTAAAACTAGTTCAAAAACAAATACCATGCATACAATTAAAAGTACGTTAATGTATCATTGTATACATTTATTTGTACAATATATTTCAGCTTGTTAAAACAAATCTTGAAGATTCTAACAAAGTTGATTATACAACTAACTTGATATTTGATATCTTTTCTGTCTACACAATAAGTTACGAATGATTTTCGTGTAAAATTAAAAATGTTCATTGACCAAGAAAGATTATATAGTAAATTCAGGTATTTGATGATAAAAATAATGATAAAATACTTCATAGAATAGATTTCATTTGATTTTATTTGATAGCCTAATAAATCTTCAAGCTTTCAAAACATATTGTACTGATCAACTTGACCTTGTTCAATGAAGTGTTCCCGATCGTAGCTAACTACTTCGATGTGGTGGTTGAACTTAACTATCGTAACGTCGCAGTCGAGCTATTTTGGCTGGAACACTTATTCTTTTAGGTCGTATCATTCCGAGCAGGTCGGTTGGGGGACGATAAGATGATAAACAGCAAACTTAAGATTCAAAGGCGAAATTGTACTGCTGACTGTACTGAGGTGTAAAAGCTGTAAGGTGTTTCCTTCAAATAAGCAGTATCTGCATCCATACTGCATTCTTACAACGAAAAGACGGCGTTAAAAGGTTGGCCCTATAAATCTCATACCCCACGGATTTCTGTGGTCTTTTGAAACACGGAGCTAATCCGTTTTCTGACCGACCTCAAGTAGTCTTTTGGGTTCTGCAGTCACACTGCCAGGTCACTACGACCAAATTTAATCCAATTCCCTTCACAGGTACTTCAGTATGAAATATCCTTTCACATTTTTGGAAACCTGAAAGTGATAAACTCTTTCATACCTCTAATAACCCTAGATCAAATGTGCCTAGTTAGTTTTCGATTTCCATTTAGGAATGTTCTATTTACCAATATTTTATGTTTTATATGTGATTTCATATGTGTGATACGTGCAAATTAAGTATAGATGTATCAACATCTTACTAGAAGGAGTCGATTTTCAAATATACTCGGTAGTTTGAGCCCAGCTTTATTATTAAGGTCTAGTAATTAATGGATGATATTGCAATGTTATAACCCCTGGGTCCATTTCCAACTAGTTTCTGTTTAGCAAGTTTGCCCTAGAGAAATTGAGGGGCTAACATATGCAAGAGATTTATTGACAAAGTTTTTTATTACTTGCAAGAAAGGTTATTGCTTTGAAAGCATTCAACGAATGCCATACGTCTTTCCAATTTGCTCTAAAAAAGTTAATCACGTCTAAGATTTCGATTTTAGCTTGTTTAGTCACAAGGTAAAACAAAATGAGACGGTAATGACAACCACTTATATTGAATTCACGTTAAATGGAGAGATGATGAATTTTAATGGTTTTGTATCTATGAACAGTAAGAGAAGTAGGATCGGTTTTTTCACTACATGCGTCTTAAAAACACACATGTAGAAGAATTTCAGGCCTTCAAAACTATTTTTTCTGAATAGTGGTTATCGTTAACCGATTTTAAGTAAGCTCCCTTTACCAATTTATCATCATATGCTAACTAACGACTGGCTTTATGATGTGATTCGTGGAGTTCTCACGGGAAGCTATGACCACTAAAGCTTAATCCGTGTCGGGTGTAAGACAGTTATTCACTACAGACAATAGATGAAGGTTGTGCAATATCGTGAGTTGATTGAAGTTATACATTAACACTGTCGGTTACCGATTTAATGATCTACAGGTTAAATGTTCACATGCAAAACTGTTGGGATGATCCAGAAAAGTTCTCGCAAAAGACACACAATGATCAGGAAACCTTGAGAAGCATTTCATACAATCAGCGTTCACTTGGAGTTTAGCCAGAAACATCAAGGATGTGAAACGTCACATGTAAAGGTTCTGATTGGTTGATTGTTATACCGCTACTATGTTTAGTAGCATTCCAGAATCTTCGAGCAATCCAAGGGCATTTAGAATATTATAAAAACCCTCTGTTTTCTGTATTAGAATGAACCTTGGAGTAAAGTACTTTTCGCATACTGTGTGCCTTCTCTTTCGTGTTCAGGTCGCTGTATAGTTCTAGCTTGGGGGTTTCAAGAATAGCTTAGGAATCGAGTATAGCGTTCAAAATCGCAAGACATATCAGAAACCGAAAGTCTTCAATTTGATTCCAGGATGCACGGGATGTGAATGCATATTACTGAGCAGTCTTATACTAGGACAAAATGGCCGTTTACTTTCTCCATATTCTCTATGGTGGTTTACCTAAGATTGGTTTGAGATTTAAGCTATATAAATCTGAGATCACTCAAAAATGATTATTTTGAACTCAAGGATGATATTATGGTTCAACTTCCTAATTGTTTGGAAAGTTTACTAAGACGAATATTCTTACTGGTATACATCTGAGTAAAAGAAAAAGTACACTGTGTCAATCAGCTCTTATAGAACTAGGTGCATGGGTCATTTATTGACATATACCCAACGCGTAAAAGAACACCTTTCATTGTGACTCAGTAAAGAATAACTCATAATTATTGATTTTCTTATTCTCCTGCTTATATTTGACCGTAGTTACAGAACTATTGGCTAGGTCTTTCGATGTTTTTTTATAAGAAATAGATCTATCCTAATCTATCAAAATGTGTACTCATATATTTCTATTTACTCTACAGATATACTTTAATATATACTTCTTATTATTCAATATTTACCTACTCACCTGTCAGGCATAGACAGTTTTGTGTATTTAACTTCATTTTTACGTTCTTAATGTTCGATCTAGTATTACTTACTTGCCTGCGCAAATCACAAGTAAATGAAATGTAAACGGCAGGATGTTTGAACCTGTGACTTAGTGGTAAGATATCAAATACCTTAACCGAATAAGCAAACATTTCAAAGTTATTAATCACATTTTATTCATCGTATATAATACTGTTTTTTTTCACTTTTTTATTATCTATCTAAATTAACTAGGTCATCCAGAATATATAGAGAGTGTATATAAAACATTACGATATATATATAAAGATGAAGGTTTAATTCATGGATTATATAAAGGTTTATCAGTGAATTGGATTAAAGGGCCAGTAGCTTCAGGTATTAGTTTCACTGTTTATCATCAATTTCAACATTTACTTCATCAATGGATAATAATTGATGAATAACTGTTCTTCTTTTCATCATTGATAATTATCACATTTTTTTCGTTTTCATCTATTTATTAAACAATAACCAAATTATTATTGGTATTACATCATAAATTCTTATGATCTCTCTCTCTATATATATATACAATAATGATTTGTTGTTGCTGAGACATAGTCAGAGTTGTTATTATTATTGCCTGTTTTCTTTTTCTAGTTGTTTATTAGTTTTATTAGTTTTTACAATATGCATTTGTTAACTGTCTATCATATCCAAATTATGTGTTTATGAGTAGTATTATAATAGTAACGGTATTATCAATAACAATAGTAATGGAAGGCTATTATTATCAAATTATACACATTTTAAATTGTTACCATTTTTTATAAAATAAAGATAATGACTATCTTTGTTTATTGTACGTTTATTTTGACTATTTTCTCTAAAAAGAAAAACTGACTAAAACTCAAATCTCGGTTTACATTTGTAAATGATTTACAAATATTACTTAATATTTTACTCATTTTTTTTGTCTTGTCACTATAAAAATAGAAGGTTTTTTTTGTTTTCTGAGTTTGTATTTGCCGCGGTTTTTTTTGTCTTTCAATTTTTTTTAGCTATTAGATCAATGTATATTTCAAATACTGTCACACATCAATAGATATACACACACTCACTCACAAACTTGAAGTGGTACAGAGTACTACTTATCTGTTAGATATTACTTATCCTGTACTACTCAATTATTTGATATTTTTAAAATAAAATATTGTACATTTATAGAATAATCTTGAATTATTTATTTATTTATTTATTTTTGTGCTGTTACTTATTATTATTTACCTCATTTTTATCCACTGTATGTTTACTGCTTAATTTATCTGCTATTACTCGTGCTACTTGTATTGAATTGAGTAGCTTAGATTATTCTACATTATTTGTTTTTCGTTTACTTTGGAAAATTTTTTTGAAAAATTCACTGTCACTCTGGGTAATTGAGCTTAATTATTTGCGCCTTTTTTTTCAATATTCTCTAGAGCGCTTTTTCGCCTTTTGGACAGCATATACATTATTATACACTAACCATTTACAAATGTAAACTGACAGTATTGTGTAAATGTACTTGTGTGTGTATGTGTGTGTGTGTTAGTTTACATATTAGAATTCTCAATAAATTATTTGATATCGTATTTGTTTCTTTTTACTTGAGTATTTTTCTCGTCGTATTTATAGAAAGATTTCTCTCTTTAGAGTCACCTTTCAACAGATATAATCAGGTATTTTAAATAGAAACGAAAGTTTGCTTGGTTCGTTATTTGATTTCATTTTAATAATCAATGTAGTTGATGATTCATGATGATTAAAATTAATAATGTAAACTATCTATTAGTTACGTTATGAGAGTTTTAGTGATTCTTATCATCGATTCTTTTAATTTAAAGGAAGAAATTACGGTAAACGTGATAGAATTTATTAAACTGACATTGTTTCTGAAGTCGTATGATCTATAATCATTTGTTGCTAAAACGATCATCAATGAAACTATTCAAACATTAAATCTTATCTATAGATATAAAGTGTTTGTGTAAAGCATTTTGAAAAATTTTAATTGGTAATCTACAAAGATAAATGGGGAATTGTGTATGAACTGGTTTTAGTGAAACTTTGTGTTGAAGACGCGACTTTTTATATTTTTCCCTATACCTCGAGAATCAGAAATATTAGCGGTATTGATATATATGAGGAAGACGGTAGGAGGTTTTAAATATGATCTTGCAAAGTCCTAAATATTTCCTGGTTCAAATAAGGGTTAGTAGAGAGTTGGCATAAGGAATTATGGCTTTTTCATCACGAGTTGACATCACCTATGATGGATGATTCTTGCAGACAAATTTTGAAAATGTTATCCAAAACCTGACTGATTTGTTTTTATACTTTGATTCCACCGAAATATTGACCGGAGGTTTGGGAGGTGATATTTAAGGCAGCTAACTTCTTTGATGTAATCTGTGCTATCAGATGCCTTATTATTTGACATAAATAGGAAATTGAGAGTGTTTATCACTTTTTTAGTGCTTCTCAAACACAAACACCTAGTCAATTGATCTGATCTTAATGCTCTTTTAATACAAACTGGGCTCAAATATTATGGAGTCACTTGTGGTATTTAAGCTTTCATCCTTAAACTTTCACAAATTCATTTACAATGGAAAGCAAACAAGTGTGACTAGTAAATTTTTGAAAAGGCTTTCTACTGGAGCATTCTTTACCATTGAAACTCAACTATGATATCCTCGTCATCTATTGATAACAGAAGTGACTTCCGTGTGTGCTCATTTGAATATCCTCTGGTACCAGGTTCGGTTCGCTTAAACTCTAGACCACTGAACCAGCATCTAACGGTGTTAATGTCTAACTTCCATCAGTCCATGATCTTGCTCAACCATTAATCCATTGTCTGAAGTATACACCTGTCTCTACCCAACACAGATTGGACTCCACTGGTCACGGCATAGGAGATTGTGGAATCCTATACTACGATGAAATGGCCGTCCAGTGCTTCCAGATTTTCAATGATGGTCTAGCTTATATGGATTCATGAGTTCAACTATTAAATTACTACCACCTCCACTAACCCCCATCCTGATAATTTCACACTTAACACAACCTCAAGTTTTTATTTTATTACAAATATCCTTTATTTATTTAGATAGACATCAGTCAAACCCTTAAAAATACATAATACCGTTTTCTTTGTTTTATTATTCAAGTTAGCTGTCTCATTTTACATTTCCACTTTAAATTCAATAACTAAATTATATAGATCTTTTGTTTCTAGCTTTATTATTCATGATACATTTATAATATTTGTAATTGACACAAAGCCTTTAAATAGATATGTGGTTTCATTCGGAATTTGTTTTAATGTTAGAAAGTATAGTTCTATAGAATGACTTCGTTTATCAATCTTCAATATGAATTATTTCATTATTAGATATGCGGTAAAAGTGATATATTATGGAACTTCTACTAATCTTAATCTATAAAATTTAGAATAATCAATATTGAAGATTTACAATGTACTTAATATTTTTACATTCAGCAATTAAAAATAATGAAAACAAAAAAAAGGACTAGTCTCCATCAGTAATAAAGTATACTTTAAAACATTTCAAGTAAAACTGACGATAAGAGAGATATATATATTAATTTCAATTTTTCGATTTATTCTTTCATCTATGAAAAGTGTTTATTACTTTGACAAAAGGTTTTTTGTTTTTCGGCAGCAAAATCTTTTCTGATATTAGTTTAACTACTATTATATTGTAAGTAGTTAAAACTGTTCGTTTAATTTATTATGGTAAGTAACACTACTACAACATCAGAAGTTGTATTTGATAATTTAACAATAAAATATAATGAAGCTAATTGTTAAAATTCTTGTTTCTGAGATTTTTAATATTTCTATCAGATTAATGAATATTGTGTTGGAAATTCTGGTGTATCTCTACAATGATTTGATGAAATATTAATTGATGCATCCTCTTCATCATTTATTTCATTTCGATGTATATTAATTCTGTCGGTTAATGATCTAGAAAAAAATTCTGTTGTTATACAATCTGTTTCATTTAAATCTAAATTAGTATATGTTTGTGTATAGTATGAATTATTTGCTTTGTCAGACATTAAATAAAATGGAAATTTAACAATATCTGTAGTAACTTCTGGTAGATTAGTTGTTAAATGTGGTGATTGAAAAGGGGGCGAAGAAGATAATGATGAAGAAGAAGGTATAAAATATGACATATATGTTCTAGATAAATCATTATTTGACTGGAATCCATCTTTATAATTATCTTTATTAAATACAGGTTCATTATTTAACAAACAATCTTGTTCAATATGACCATATATTGTAGTTGTATCATTACATGGAATTTTCGCCATTAATTCAGATCCAGGAAATTTTGATAATCTTCCTTGATCAATATTTTGATTTATATTTGATAAAGGTTTAATATCTAATGCTGAATCCATAAAGTTTAAGGAATCACTTATTGTAGAAGTTCTATTCGATAATCTATTTAAGTATTTACTCGAAAGATTTGAATTCGTCGGTAATATAAATGAAATTCCGGATTCATTATTATTGAATGAGTTGAATGATGGAGATGACGATGATGAAAATGATGTTGATGAATTATATAGTTCATCTTTACTATCATTTATTGTAGAATTGTCAATATGTTCAATAGATTTCTTGATTATTGTTGGTGAATCATGATCTACTGTGGGTATTGAAGAACAGTTGGTTAGTAACTTTGCAGTATCTAAAACAAAGCAAAAGAATTAAGGAAAAATAAATCATTGAACCACAAGCAATTGATATAGGAATATTGAATGACTTTGTAGGAATTTTCCGATGTTAAGGAATTGGATTTGAACATCTAGAATTGTTGAACATAGTGTATAAATATATCTTACAGCTTTTCATAAAATAATATATCATTGTAATAGTTTTGAATATGAAGTAGTTGAAGGTAATCATCAAGAAATTTGGAACCTAGTTTTTGTGGAAGCTAACACTTATCAAGAAGGAATATCTACGATCGACCGTAAACACCACCCTTCTAGTAGTGTCTGGAATGCTCTTATCGGCCCTTGAAAATCCAAGCGAGGCAGTATAATCATCGTGGCAGGCCGTACCCATATCCACAACAGGTCTCCAAGACGAACAGCCTCTGGCAAATTAACATTGTAGGTAAGGGAAGTCGGCAATTTGGTTCCGTAACTTCGGAAGAAAGACTGGCTCTGGGGATCGAGTCAGGCAGGCTGAGATCAGATATGTGTCGGTCCAGTTTGCGATTGGTTTCTTTGCTGCTTTGTGTGCCTTGGTGCGCGTTGTCGTGAGGTTACAGGACTTTGACTCGGGTCAAGCATGAGCGGTTTCAGCTGTTGGTGTCGTGCAGTTATCAACGCTCGAGGACTTGTTCCACGTTGCGTCAAGCGGCTGTACTTCCATGATTTGGCGCACGATGACTAACTCGGAACTGGCACGGACCAGGGGAATCCGATTGTCTAATTAAAATGTTAACCCCATTAGAATTGGATCTGACATTATTCATTACCACTTATGGATAAATCAATCTTGCCTACTATGTTCAATATGATTTTTCTTCATCTTTTTATTTTAAACTAAATTTCATTGATTATGAAATGTGAAATTTTTGTTTACAATAATATTACTAGTAAAAATTTAGCCGGTTTTTTCAGCTAATGTGAAGCTCTGTTTAAATCTAAATTCATAAAATTATAACACCTTAGTTCTATGATGATGCCATGTTTGAAGCGATTACGAGTTCACTAAGACTCCGTGACCAAAGACCAATAAGCTAGATATTCTGATGCGTCCGAGCCCCGCTAACTAGAGAGAGAAGTCGAAGTTTGGGACGGGAAGGCATATTCCGCAAGTAGCCAGAAGCACGAGCGATAACAACAAACACAAATCAAACGTATATATACAGCATACAACTGTCCTTGGGATGCTTTACAAAATAGCATACTAAAATATACAACGGACCAATACCATTAAAGATTCTCCCAAGCGGGAAATACGACATGAAGGTGGGAAGAGCGCTTTTGGCGCGAAAGCAAAGAAATTCAAATTTTCAAAATAAAATTACAGAATTAAGGTATTTACTAAGTGAGTTCTGGGGATGTAACATCCCCAACAGATGAGAATTTCCACATAGTTTACATCAATAGTTCAATGAATATCTTACAAAAATGCACAACTTTAGCACTTTACCGTAAAGATTCTTATATATATATATATATATATATATATATATATATATATATATATATATATATATATATATATATATATATATATATCAGTATAGAGTTGTGGAGATTGTTGAGTTTTAAATTGGCATCATGGATGGATCAATGTTAAACCACTATTGAAAACCTGGATGCACCCACGATATGATGCAACAGTTCATCAATGTCTTCAGTGAGTACCTGCTACGTATTAGCAGTGGTCTAGATGTTAAGCGTTCACGAGCGAGACTAGAAGTCTTTGGTTCGAATCCCGTATGTGGGATCGTGGATGAGCACTGTTGAGGAGTCCTATACTAGGACAAAACGGCCGTTCATTGCTTCCGAGTTTCCATTAGTGGTCTAACATTGTTTATTTCATAATATATATCTTCGAATTCTGTATTGTTTTTACAACTGGAAAAAAAATTGATTATCAACGAAAACAAACATATTTGCATTATTTTTGTTAAGTTCACTTTGATTATATTTTCCATGAAATATAATCCAATTTTCCTACAATTGTATAGTTACAAACCGTTTCCGAATTTATATACATAAATCACGTCATTCATTCATATGTATATTAATTCTGACTTGTATTCAATGAATTTAAATATAAGAGAAATTAGATTAGCTTTACCATATTTTACATGTATCCGGTCGTGACAACCCTTTATTGTAATCTCGAATCATTGTTTTCATTAATAAAAACAATAACCAATATCTATGTATCTATCTATCTACACTTCCTTCACTCACTCACTCTCTCTCTCACACACACACACGCAACATTCGCTATTTTGTACGTCAAATTTTAAAAAGAAAAAGACTAAATATAACGAGAAAGAAAAAGAAAACAAACAATAATAAAATTAATTTTTTTTCGTTTTCTCTTAATGTTTTCCTTTAGAATCATTAACACGAATAATAATAATACTACTCATTATGACTGTAATTTGAATAATTTATAAATATAAATGAGAGGAAATGATATAAGTTTGTCTGTTCCTCTTTTTATTTCCTTCGTTAATGTATACTCTTTTTAATTATTATTTATTTTGTACAATAAATGAATTGTTGGTAACAATAGAATCAATGATATATAGATTTTGTCTTATTTAGGAATTATCAGAAGGAGTTTTGTGGAGGTCATAGTGGTCTAGCGGTTAGGCGCTCGCGTGCGAGACTGATAGGTTGTGAATTCGAATCTCACGGGGTGTGGGATCGCAGATGTGCACTGCTGAGGAGTCCCATACTAGGATGAAACGGCCATCGAGTGATTTCAGATTTTTCATGGTGGTCTAGCTTTAATTGACTCATGATTTTAACTATTGAAATTATTTAGGAATTATCATCTAGATTTTCCTGCATCTCATTGTTGATGTTCATATCTTAACATAATTCATCTATTCTATCGAGTTGTATGGGATCAATTCTTAACAATGATTGATTGAGATTCAGCTATGAATACATGAAGCTGAATAAACAAGATCTTTACTAATAATAACATTATTCACCTAGATATTATAATCTAGGTAATTTTAGAGTGAACATCCTAAACCAAAACACCTTATACAATTGTTCAGACCGAGTATGAGACTCTTTACTAATGGTGACCAATGATTCTACTGAGAATCAATCCTGGGGATTTCAGGTCACTAGGTGAACATTTAGACTACTGAGCTGGGATTCAAAGGTTTATTTGTTTCGCTTCAAGTTGTACAATCACCTTCTAGGTAACTGTTACACATTCAAGATGATTAAACTCCACTGGTCAAGATTTCCTCTGAAATTACCACTTGAAATAAGTTACTAGTGAGCACGTGACTGCTACCATTATATAAATGAGGTTGTGAATACTCATTGCTTAGGACTACCACATTAGGTTGTAACAACTATCTAATACTTTTTTATTTATAATATTTGCCTAACTAAGATTAGCCTGTAATGTTGATCACATCATTTATTAATTAAATTCTTTAAAGCAAAATGAAGCCTTGACCAGTGGAGTTTATCCGTGTCTGTTGTGAGGCAGTTACTCACTGAAGACAGTGGTGGACGGTCACGCAATATCGTGGATTGGTTGAACTAAGACATTAACACTATTAGATGCCAGCTCAGTTCGCGAGCGAGACTAAAGGTCCTGGATTCGAGTGCCAAGTGTGAGACCGTGGATGCCTACTGTTGAGGAGTTTCATAGGAGGACAAAATGGACGTTCAGTACTTGCAGGTTTTTAATCATTTAACATTGATCCATTCATGATATCAATCTAAACTCAACAATCTCCACAATCCTATAGTGACAAAATGAAATACAACAGAAACACAATATTTTTATCTTTAAATGAAATGATACATATGACTAGCGATAAATAGTTAATTAAATCCATTAGCATGTCATTGCATTTCATTGTTATAAACTAGCAGAAATTATTCATAATTCTTTGTTAAATTATGCTTTATTCAATATTTCACTCAAAAGCATCGTCAACGAACTGTTCAAACTAATTGGACTTTTGATTGAGATCATGAACCGATTAATGTTAGATCATCATTGGAAACACTGGACGGCCATTTCGTTCTATTATGGGACTCCTCAGCAGTCGTATCCACGATCCCGCTCGCGAAAACTTTAATCAAAAGCTTAATAATCTCCACAACCTTATACTGATAATTAGACTTTAATACATTTATTTGTTGTTATCAATGAAATAATATGTAGAATATTGTGTAGTAATTGAATACTATTGTTCAAGATTTCAACATCTGTCACTAGACAGTATGTCATAACATTTTAGTATAATAACTTGTTACTTTATAAACAATGAGGATAAACAGTTGATGTATCAGTGGAATAATTTGTCATATGAATGTCTCACCGGTAGTCTTCCTAATAAGTATTTACTAATATACACTTAAGTACCCTACATGACTACCATTTTTCATGAGTTCTTATCATTTTGAAATTTTAGATTTATTGATTTCTAAAAATCTTGTTTAACTATCAATTATACGAAATGAATTCAGGCAACGTCTAGTAAGTAGGACAGCCAATGGTCGGCAGCCTATGCTGTATTGCGAGTAACAGACGTAAGTAAGTAAGTAAATAAGTAACTGTCGTTTCATAATTTACTTACAAAACATGGGTTAATCAAACCTAAACAAGAACAAACAGTACTCATTACAACATTCTAACACTAACCTGTACATTTCATTTCGAAATTCTGTAATCTATTTTTACGATGCATATTGATGTGCTCTTTTCCCATCAATTTATTTTTATGAATTGGTGTACTTGAGATTAATTTTAACGATGATGATGATGATGACAATGATGATGATGTGAACAATTGTGGTCGTGATACTATATCTGTCATTACTGTAGTTGTTTTCTCTACTATTGTCGTTATTATCGGTATTGAATTAGAAGATGATGATGATGATGATGATGTTGTTGATGCTGAGATGGATAATGTTTCTACAATTTCATTCATATCATTTCTATGAGATGTATTATTATTAATTATTAATCCATTATAATTTTTAAAAATTTCTGGTCTAAATGTTGAACATTCTATGTTATCCAGTTGATTCTTTTCATCAATTTGATTTTCATTCTCATTATGTACATTAAGACTTTGAGATAATTTATAAGAAAGAAAATTCTGATGTTGTTGTACATAATCAGAATATTTCTCTGAATCATGTGTATGACTATTACCATGATGATGATGATGATGATGCTGATGTTGATGACGATGAGGATGATGATGATGAGGATGATGATGATGATGAAAATGCGAAAGAGATGATGGATGTTGTGAAATTGTATTTTGTTGATGTGAAAAGTCAAAATTTAAATGACCTTGTTGTTCACTTTCTTGTTGTTGGTGTTGTTGTTGTTGGATATGAAAATTTTCAAGTGTATCATTAATTAATAAATTTAAGTTCTTATTCTTCCCATTAAATGTATATCCGTTCCCATATAATGTATTAAAACCATTTGATGCTGCCATTGTTAAACCTAATAATCCAGTTATACTATAATCAGTTGATAAACCAATATGATTAGTACCATTATTGAAACATGTTAAATCATTTAATGTATTTATATTTGATATAGGTTGTTTACTTACTGATTTTTGTACTAAATAATTTGTTATACTACTATTATTATCATTATTAGTAATATTATAATCATCAGTATTATTTGTATTAGTTAATGAAGGATATAAATGGGAATATCTAATAATGGATAAATCATTTTCAGTTGATGAAAATCGATTATACATAGAACGTTGAATATATTCATCATTAATATAATGATTATGTAATAATCTTTCATCATTAATAATATTCATATTTAATTTATTAGATATATCATTTGGTAATGTATTTATAATTTTTGGTAATGGAATATCTTTAATATCATTAGTAGTAGTATTAGTAGTATTAGCAGTATTAGTAGTAGTAGTAGTAGTCATAATAGTTTTATTAAAATTAGTTAAATAATTTCTTTCATCTATTTCATTTATTCTTTCATTATATTTTTCTTCAATAAATTTAAAATTTAAATTATTTAATTGATTTTTAAATGATTCACAATTTTCTGATGAAATAACATTTGATAAATTTGAATTTACCGCTTGATTTAAATGTTCAATAGTTTCTTCATAATTTCGATTAAAATATGGTGTCAATTGTGAATATTGAAATGAATTAATGGTATTATTATTATTATTATTAGGAAATGTATAAGAAACTTCTGGATAATTATTATTATTATCATATATCCTTCCATTTATTGAACTATTAAACATTGTCGGTGAATGATAAAAACGTTTTATATCGGAATTTAAAAGATTTGAAGTTGTTTTATCCGTGAACATTAATTGTTTAAATGATGATCTTACTGAATGAGATGATGTATTGGATTTTGTCGTTGGTGTTGTTGTTGTTGTTGTTAAAGTTCCTGTTGATGTTGATTTACCTCCAACTACTGATAATGTTATTGGACTATGATTTATATAGTTTTCTTGTGCAAAATCACATAGTTTAATTGATTTTGGTGAAGAATCAGTTTGAAGACTTAAAGGTGTTGTTGCAGGTGAATCATGATAATTTGAATCTTGACTTAATTGGGTTTTAGTTGTTGGTGATGTATTATGAATTTGACGATGACTACGTTTTCTAGATAATACATTATGTGGTTCCATTGTAGTTTGATTATCCTATGTCAGTTAGATAGAAAAGAAAACGGTAACAAGTTGTTTGTTTAGAGAAGAATTTTGAAATTTTATCTGAAATGATATCAGGATAGACCTTCATCAACATTTAAATGATTATAAAGAGTACAGTTAATATATATATTCAGATCAATTCACTTATCTAGGAAGTTTCATCACTCCTAGTGGATTGGAATCTAACAAAACCTCGAGTTGGATTCGAAAAGCTCACTTGACTTTTGGTAACCTGCATCACCGGTAACGTATGTACACTATCTCTCTGCCAACTGAAAGACAAGTATATCGTCCTGTAGTATTCTCTTTTTTATTTTGGAGTTATGAAACCTAGTCTTTAAAAACAGGGAGATATTCATATATTACTAAGGTTTTCTCACAAATGTCTTCAAAGTATTTCTCGATTATGTTGGAACAATTGAGCTAGCAATATTTATGTCAGGCATAAAGTACTAGGTAAAATAAGCTAGCCGATTGCTGAAATTATGAATCTTCATCATTTGATATGATTGGAGCATGTACGTTAAATTATCAAATACAAAATATCAGCATATTCTTAAATTTATGAGATGTTGTATCAATTACATTAAAGAAAGTGACCATTTTTCGGCTCAAAGGTCCAAAGATTGCCAACTGTTGACCGGGGAATAAATAATTTCCAAAAAAACAAATCCAGGTCATTGACGAACACTACTTAAAAATCAATTTCTATGAGCCCTCATATAATACAATTTTATGTATTTATTCTAGTTAAATTTTGATATGCTTTTGTTGATGCACAATTACAGTCTGAATTCTGTAGAAATTCTATCTTCATCTTGATGATTATCTGTTCATTTTAATTTGATATATTAATGGTAAATGTGACATAAGAAAAGTAAATATGATGGCTATATTACTTCTATGAGTATAAATACAGTAGTATGCAGTAAACGGAGGAGAATTCCACTAGATTACAAATGGATTAAAATTAAGACATTCAAAATATATGAATACCAACAAGCTGACGTAAAAATACTATACTTTCTCGAAACAAAAACACTGAAAATTTCCAATTCCAAACTAGTGTGAAATATTTAATTACTTACTGATGCCTATTACCTCTTATAGAGGAGTATAGGTCACCAAACTGAATTCACCATCGAACTCTGTCCTGAGCAATCCTTTCTAGTTGTTATTCATCCTTTTCATGTCTGTTTCCAATTGTCGATGCAGTGTGTTCTTTGGTATTCCTCTTTTCCGTTTCCCTTTAGGATTCAAGATTAGCGCTTGCCTCGTGATGCAGTTTGGTGATTTCCGTAATTTGTGTCCTATCTAACTCCACCGTCTTTACGTAATTTCCTCTTGAGCTGGAATCTGGTCTGTTCTCTCCCACACTAGGTTGTTGCTGATGGTATTCAACCAACGGACATTGATTATCTTGTGTAAAAAAATGTTTATAAATACTTGTTCATTTTTGAAGTTGATTGTGATAGTTCTTCACGTTTCAGCATCATACATTAGAACTGTCTTGACGTCCGTATTGAATATTCTGACTTTGATGTTGGTTGACAGTCGTTTTGAGTTTAAGATATTCTTCAGTTGTAGGAATACCACTGTGGTGTTTGTATGAACTAATAATTCTTTTGTACTTGATTACTGCCTGATTTCGAGTTCCAAATACAATCCGTTCGTTTGTGATCATCTCTTTCTCTTTGGTCTAAATCGCGTTATTTCTGAGATTCCTAGTTTGTATATTATTTTAAATACTTCTAACTATCACAACCACCCTTTCTTTGTAATCCTTGACTTTACATCAGCATCAGGTAATCCTTGTTCATCAGTGATGCTGCCCAGAAATGTGAAAGTTCCCACTACTTCCACAGCTTCTCTATGAAGTGTGATTGTGTGGGTGTTCTCTTTGCTGTATTTGAGGTTCTTGGTTTTTTCCTTATATATGTTGGCTGCTACTACACTGGCTGTCTTGATCTGGATTTGCTCGTGTGTATGGGGTAGAAGGGCTAGGTCATCTGCGAAGTCCAAATCATTAGGTTGCATTCAAGCTGTCCATTGCATTTCATGCTTCTCCTAAGATGTGGAGATCTTCGTAATCCAGTTGACGGCCAGAAGAAAGAGGAAGGGTGAGGGCAAGCAGTTGAGTCGATGATCAATGTCCGTTGGTTGAATACCATCAGCAACAACCTAGTGTGGGAGAGAACAGACCAGATTCCAGCTCAAGAGGAAATTACATAAAGACGGTGGAGTTAGATAGGACACAAATTACGGAAATCACCAAACTGCATCACGAGGCAAGCGCTAATCTTGAATCCTAAAGGGAAACGGAAAAGAGGAATACCAAAGAACACACTGCATCAACAATTGGAAACAGACATGAAAAGGATGAATAACAACTAGAAAGGATTGCTCAGGACAGAGTTCGATGGTGAATTCAGTTTGGTGACCTATACTCCTCTATAAGAGGTAATAGGCATAAGTAAGGAATGCCGTAATAAAATAAATATATTTAAAAGCACTTAACCTCAATCATGAGACAATCATTTTTTTAAAAATATCCAAATACACAAATACTCTTATAAGATAATGTAGTATATCAATCGCAAATGGGTTATTCTTACTTCCAAACAGACCCTTTTACTCATTCTCACTGAGTCACATTCTCTCTATAAATATTAAGTTACGTTTTATTAAAACTAGTTCGTTAACTCGCCTTCTCCGCTTCGCTTTGATTTCATACTTTTCATTTTCAACTTCTGTCCAGATAAATGAGTACTTGAAATAAGTTCATCCAACTCAACCCGTTTTTAACTCCTTGTTTCTACCGTCATACAAACGGGGTTAGCCTATGTAATACACGAAGTTCAATGGAATGTTTACGTTCATAGAATATTTGTACATTCATCTAAATTCGAATCAAATCAATGGGCCTCAAAAATGTGATATAATCAATACATAAATTGTACTTTTTTTCTTCATCCTAAACTAACTTGCCTTATTTCTAACAATACGATTAATTGATGATACAGATGGTACATTTTCTACTGTACATATTTGATCCTTTAATAGACGATCACGTATTTCCCATGCGAACATAGTTGGATTATCCTCTTTATATTTGCAGATAGCTTCAACAACGGAAGCCGTTGCAACTTTTGGCTTTGATCCACCAATAACTCCAGGTCGTATACTTCCAGTTTCATAATACCTAAATAATTAAAAATACATTACAAATTATAGAACATTCAACAAGTATCAGGTGAGTGAATATTAATTTCCGAATACATGGAAAGTTATGTTCATATGAATACAATTTCATACAATATACAAACATTTTATTGGTAATCGTTTAAATTTTTCCGTTGAAGTTAACCACTGTATTTGATCAATCACTGTTAACACATATTCGTTCTGAATAGATTCCTTAAACAATGTCATTTAGTTATAAGCTTTCATTAAAGTTATGACCAGTAGTGACTAGCAGTTGAATTCAAGATGTTAGTTTCATTGTATTTGGAATTCGTCATTTGAGCGTACCTATTTCTCAATGTTGAGCTTCACAGTGATATTTGTAAATAAATGTCGTTATTAAGAGAATCCATTTAGAATGTAGATATGTCAGTAGGGATTCATCAATTCCAGACCAATACAGTCAATCATGTTTAAACAGATGTTGTTATTGATCAATAATATCAATTTACGACATCAGTAAATTGCAGATTAACTAAAGCTAGGAATGGGAATCTTTGTAAAGCAGTCATTAGCGTAAGTGACTTGAAATCGTGACACATTTCGTTTTATTTTAATTGGTCGATATCAGTCGAATAAAAAAGTCCTCATGTTGAAATAGTTTACGTTTTTAAAAGGAAAATTTATTATACGCTAGTATACTACTTAGTTTGTATGTGAGCAGCGTAAGACAAAACTTCTTTATGTATTAGATAAACTATTAGATGGCAAAAGTTGAATGACTGGAGTATACAACCTTCGATAACTCAGTTTCAAGCTGAAGTCCTACTTTAACTTTTCTACTATTAATCACTAAATAGTTTTATTTGTTTCTACTTAAAAGTTTGATTTAAAGCTAAGTACATGGGTAATCTCTGTCTGGAAGTAGTATAACTCATCGGTAAATTTTCATATCCACATAATATGTTCATGCAATAGAAGAGGTTGATAAATTATTGATTTACCTGCAACTTATAACAAGTTATAAAGCTATACGTTTCGCTTAGCATTTAAATGTAGCGGGTTGTATATCTTATTTATAAGTGTTGCTGTTGGTAATAATTATCAACTTGTTTAAATGTAGATATAGTAAATGCAGATACTTAGTGAAGTAAAGTTTTGGCTTAAATTAGAAATTTCATGAGGTCTATTCGAATGTCGGTCAACAGGAAAATTTCCAAAGTACAAAATATTGATTAGTTTTTGTCATATAACATCACGTGAAGTGTAAACAAAAACGATCTCCTGTCTATAAAAAAGTTTAATAGTAGACATAACTCTTTGTTTATCATTTTTTAACTACACCAATGCAAACTTGTCATTAGATGCCACTCCCATGTTACTAGTGCTGTCAGGCAGTTTATGGTTGTCGCTGAGATACTCTAAATTTATGTTACATTCTAGTCAAGCCTCTTCAATAAGATATACCTACAATATTGAGCTAACTGATGTCTCCTGTGGGATTTGAAATGATGTCACTCAATACTACAGCCTTAGATACCAACTTTGAGCTTTTGCCTCGCAGTTGACCAGTGGAATTGAGATATTTACACTGATTAACAGTCGTTTAGACTGGTTATCACATTGTAACCGGATTGTTGTAATTCTTTTAAGCATTATAGGACTAAAAAACATGACATTGATCACTGTGCAATAAATCAGTGAAAGTCTGAGCGATCTCATCACATATCACTGTTAGTTTTTAATAGTGAAACAATTAAGTAAACAGAGGTAATCCCAAAAATAGTATTGAAAAAGTAATTCTTCTAATTGATTGATTATAATGTGAAATTATCCGTTACTAAAATAATAGTAACATATATTACACATTCTATTACATACCATATCTTGGTATACTTAACTGACTAGAATATAAGAGTATCAGGAAAACTCTCTGGATGATAAGACATAAGACATAATTGTCTAAAAAAATGGGATAATACTCAAATATATATTCACTTATAATTAATTACAATAATATGAGATTATACTTACCGTCCTAAAATTTTACTAACACAACCATGTGAAACTCTTAATTGTCTACTAATATCACATGGTCGTACATTTTGATTGGCCAATTGAACTATTTGTTGTCTGACTTGATTTGGTAATGGACGTCCATTGACAAAAACACCTCCAAGTTGATTTATTCCACCATGTCCTTTAAAAAAATAATAAAGACATAGTAAGCTACATTCACTTGGTATTGTTTACCTGAATCTTCCCATTGATGTTTAGGACTGAAATTGATCAGTCTCTTATTGGCATACGTGCATCTTGTGCAGATTGCCTCGATATAGCGTTAAGTCACAAAGTCAGGTACACTCATCTGACGAGCCCTGAACAAGATGAAACGCGCGTCCTGGACTCCACTGCTAGCCACTATCCTTTTGCTTATAGTAAACCACAGTCTACTATTTTTAATAGTAGTACCAGTAGTACATATTATTAGTTAAAAGTATTTATGAAATTTGTACAAAATTTTTTTATTATTTTTGTGATCCAATGTTGAATCTTTCAAAGTTTCAGTCTGTAACTAGTGTCTCATTTTATTGAGCCATGATGATCAACCTGACAGTACTTAGTAAATAGTGTTTGCTTTTAAAAAAACTCTGATTTTCAACTGCGCAAATAAATTGTTTCAATGCACCTTCTCTTCAATTTTTATATGTGTTTCTGGTTTACCTGCTATCATATTGCTATTAAAGTATTATTCGATTATTATGCATGTTATCAAAAGTTATCTAGGAATGATTCTATTGAATACCTTGGATCCTGTTCATTTAGCAGCCATTGTTTATTTGTAAAGAAATCATTAATTCACAAGGATTAATGTGAGTCATCGTGCAGAATGTGCAAATAAACAATTTGAATTCACTGAAACCTTCCATATCAAGCTGTTTTCCGTGGACTTTAATTACTTGACATTATTAATTATAACCATCTTGAAGGTATTGTATCTAGTTCAATAACGCTAATGAATAAATAAATTTTGATTTACATCGTAATTCGTTCTTATCTCAGTTTAGTTTCATCTGGACAGATAATTCTAATGTTTTTACTTTACTGCTTATTGTCGACAACATCAACTGTATAGGTTTGTGGAGATTATTAAGTTATTAAGATCATGAATCAATCGATGTTGATGGAAGCACTGGATAACCGTTTCATCGTATTGTGGGACTCCTTAGTAGTGTGCGTACTGCCCGCGGGATTCGAACCCATGGACTTCAGTCTCGCGCACGAACTCTCAACCTACTAGAGAGAGGGTAGAGACAGATATCTACCTCAGTATAATGGAAAATGACCAAGCAATTTCGTGGATTGGTTAAAGTTAGACATTAACATCAATGGATGCCGGCTCAGTGGTCTGTTAGGTTGAGCGTCCAGTGATTCCAGATTTTCAATGATGATCTAACATCAACCGGTTCATCATCTCAATCAACAACATCAACTGTATCAATTCCAGACTTGATATATATTTGTGTTTAGAATTCGTTCGCGAATTATAAATCAGATAAAAAACATTTGAAGTAAAATACATGAGTATATAAATATATATGTTCCCATAGTTACAAGATTAGTAAAAAAAAATAATAATAATCCCTCTCAAACAATTCAACTATTATATTAAACAGAAATAAATACTTGAGGGAAGAAAACGCGAAATTTTCTTTTTCAAACAGTAAAAATGACTGTTTACACCATAACAATCGAGATAATAATAATAATAATAATAATAATAATAATGAAAAGAAACAAAATGAATTAATGATTTTATTCGTTTCTTTACTCTAGTTAATATCTTGAGTTCTTTTTCACTCCTTAGTATTTCCTTCTAGTTTTAGTTAATCATTATATGAATAATAATTCTAGTTGTAGTAGATAGAGAAAATAGTTATGTAAGTAGATATTTCTACATCTATTTAATCATTATTATGCTATACATTCTTTAAGTTGTTTCCATCTAGCATCTTGTCTTTAAGCATTATATATATATATATATATATATATATATATATATATATATATATATATATATACAGTGCTCTCGTAAGAGATAATTTGTTATGCTCCATTTATAACCGACTCTGATTTTTCTTTCTTGTTTTCTTTCATTTGTCTCACTCAACTGTTTTGCATATTTATTTTTGTGTTTTTTTGTTGTTATTATTGTTATTACTATTGTAGTCGTCGTCGTTGTGGTGGTTTCAGTTGTTTTCTACCTGCTAACATTTAATTTATTTAGATAAACTTTCTTTTCCCCATCGAATTTATGTGTGTTTGTGAATGTGTACATAGAAAATAAGAGTTCTCTAGTTATTGACTCGTTAATATATAATCAGCTACATTTCTTTCTGTTAGCAGGTTCGCACACACACACACACAAACAAACACAAATAGGAATATAAGCAACTTTTCTGGTTATAGTTATGCACTTATTCAGTAGCCAGTCGTCAATCCTTATGTTTTTCCTATATTTTATTAATTGAGAAAATAAAAAAAATAAACGAATTCAAGAGAGATTTTAAAAGAATGACAAGAAGAGAAATAGATTTCAAAGTGAATGCATGACTTAACATAACTATAATAGTAATAAGAATATCAATTGTAAATTAGTCGAATTATTCAAATATCATTATCATTATCATATTTGAATGCTTATTTGTTTATATGTTATCTTCAATTTTTTTCCCTGCTTCATCGCGAGTTTGAGCACGAGACCAAAGATCTCTGGTTTGAGTCCCTTAGGTGCGGGATCGTGGATGCTCACTGCTGAAGAGTCTCACACTAGGATGAAACGGCCGGCCAGTGTCTCAAGGTTTTCAATGGTGGTCTAACATTTATCGATTTATGATCTTAATCAAAATTATCTAAAGTAAATTGGTTTAAAATCTTCGATTGAATTGGAACCGTTTCATTTGACATATTAATCTCATTAAAGTTATGTGGTGGACTATTAGTTGAATTCAGGACATTCGTTTCGTTATATTTGGGACTCGTCATCTGTATTTACCTATATCCCAATGTGGAGTTTCACAGTGATATTTGTAAATAAATTTCATCATTGCAAGAATCCATTTAAAATGTAGATATGCTATTGAGGTCACATCGATTTCAGAACTTGACATAAAAAAAAATTCAAAATTCATATCTTTTACATAATCTACAAATTATTTGAATTCAGTAGCTCAATGTATAACACGTAGATGTTTAAAGCTCATAGTACTGGATTCAATTTTCAGTGCGAACATGATCACCGGAACTCCGGTGTATTGGAACGAAGCTTACTATATGGGCTGAAACGTGGATCTTTGTATCCACTTCTATCTATAATCCATATATAATATGAATATAGTGATTGTAATCTATCAGAATATTAGTAAATTACTCAAACTGAAATTCATTTCTAAATACTAATTAGATCACTAAAATCAAGTTTTACTGATACAGTTTAATCAAATGATTTCATCATGGAATACGACTTGAACTTTACTGTTTATTGTTGTGTATTATCAGAAAGGGTTTTGTGGTAATTTCAATGGTTAAGATCATGAGTCAGTTGAAGCTAGACCACCATGGAAAACCTGGAAGTACTGGACAGCCGTTTCGTCCTATTAAAGTGTATAACTCTTACAAACTTAAATATTTCAAATAAATTTTTGAAGTATTTTCATATATACAATTAGTGATGACTTGATAATGTCCAATGAAGGCTTCAGAAGAACATTTAATCATTGCAAGTTCATGGATTTATTAATTGAAGTTTCTGTTTTTTTTTCTGGCATGTGAAACTAAACTGGGGTTTATTTATTTATTTGAAGCAAAAAAATTGAACACCAAATCTGAATATTTTCCGAAAATTCCATATGTTTAACATTTAAATCAAAATATGAGCTAGTTGAATGTTTTTAAAGTTGATCAAATGTTCGATGACACAAAGTCTAGCAGTTTACCACTTACTATTATAGGACGAGCTCCTGTATTGTAAAATACATAGGTGGTAGCTATAGCTCGCTTTCAATACGGATATTTAAATTTAAACCGTTTTTATATTATTATTATTCATAGAAAATAGGTGCTAATTCAAAACTGCTCTATTACTGAATATTCAACTAATAACTCTCCGTTCAATGACCTGGTACGGCCGAGAGTAAGGAGAGTACGCTCTCCCTCTCGAAATGCTCTCACATGACCACGCGTATATAGCTTCCGCCAGGGAAGTCCTACTCACTGCCTTCTCGTGGCGGGGTGTTCTTTACGAAAATGAGAGGACGAAAAGCGAATGTCCGGCGCTTTAACCGGACCCCAAACCAATGGTGCACATGGGCTCTAGTATCCCGAAGGAACAAATGGCGTATGAACCAATCGTTGGTCACCGGCTACCATGGGACTGCATCTCCTCACGATGCTCCACTGCCTTGTGGATCAGATCTTCAGGTTGAAGGCTCGGGGTGTGGCCCCCTAAGCAAACCACCTGCTCCGGTCTTGGCACCCGGGCAGTATCACAGCCCTCACACATATCAAATGAGATCTGTGTGGCGCATATGCCCTTGGTACCTCCATGTACTAATATCTATGTTTCAAAATAAATAATAGAATCAATTATTAAAGATCATTAACATTGTAGTGTAATATATAGAAAGAATAATGATTAATTATCAGTAAAGTAAATTAAAACAGTCACATCTCTTATTAGTGAATAATCAACTAAATATTAAATCAGTTTGATAGAATGATTCAATAAAACTATCCTTTTATTCAATCTCAAAGTAAAAAAAGAAGATAGTCAAATGATCGATAATTGGAGCAAAACGTTCATTAAAAGTCAATCATTCAGTCAGTCAGTTACAACGTAGGACCGAATTGTCATACCTGATAAGCATAGCAAGCAGTTTATTCAATGATGTAATATATAAAAGAAAAATTTTATTATTTTAAAGAGAGCAAGAATATAGAATATAGTATAGAAAGAAATGAATACAGTTTATAAATATTGGTATTTACAAAATATGGTTTATCTGAAATCATGATATGTATGGTCTAAGCCACTTTTATCTTGTTTTCAGACATAACAGTAAATTGTCTTAACCTCTATAGTCAATACTAATAATTAGCATAAAAAACTTCATAGAACAGTAATTGTAACACTGTACTGTG